GCTGTGGGAGATGAGCTGGCCCTGGAGAGCACACACCCGGGAGAGGGAAGAGTCTCGCTGCCCAGAGATGCCCCTGCAGTTAATGAATGACCTGTGAAAATTCACCTGAGAGACAGGCAGTTCCAAGAGCCACAGTCAGCCGAGGCCTGGTGCAGGAAGCTCTACTTCCCTCTTTTCCAGATTTGAAAAGGAATTTCTGTGCCTGGGTGGGTTGTGCTGTGCAGTTATGGGAGTGGGGGGTGGAGGAGGGCAGAGGACACATGGGGATCAGCCCTGGGGTTGGGAGGGTCCTGGGACAGGAATGGGAGGCAGGGGAACCCGGGTCCGGGCTCTAGCTCACCTGCTCTACCTTGTCACTGCAGTGATGTGCCCTCCCAGCCACCCCCATTATCTGGTCTCCTACAGAAGTCAAGGCAAAGGCTGCCTGCCATCTTACAGACTCTGAAAGCAAGGCTCAGGGCAGAGCCCAGAGAAGGCCTAGCCATATGGCAGGTCAGTGGCCCAGGCAGAGCAAATCCCAGCTTCTTTCTGTATATCAGCTGCCTCTTCCCTTCTTTGGGAAGCAGGGGCAGATGTGGTTGACCTGAGGCCTTGATCTGGGGATACACAGAGTAAGATCTGGCTCCCTGGCTGTGGATGCTGGCCTTCTGCCCTCTCTGGAAGGCTGTGAATATGTGCATACACTCCTTAAAGCACAACTGAGCACATCCCCCTGCACCTGCCTCCCAGACCTCCCGAACTCCATGGAAACCCCTTCTCATACTGTCCCCAGGCCCTGGGCTTGGCACAGCTCAGAGAGCCCCCAGCAGCTGCACTATATTCCATATGCCTCCCCAGAGAGCCACGGCCACAGAGGCTGCACCAGACAGTTCTCAGCAATTAGGACGCTTTGGGGCAGTTGATATTTCCAGCAAGCCCCTAATGTATCCCCCCCACCTCAGACCGGTAATTTCTAGATGAGTAAAGTAAGGTTCAGAGAGAGCTAGTGACCTCTTCAGGTCACGCGGCAAGCCAGTTGAAGGAGACAAGGCTGGAGCCCGGGCACTGACACCTGACCTAAGATTCTTTCCTCTCAGTAAAGAGAGCAAGCTTGAACATAGAGGCAGCATGATCTGGAGGCAGTGAGTGCCTGGTGGCCAGGTAGTCATGGGAGGGAAGAGGACCAGGGAAGTGGGTCAGGTATGCGCCTAGGAGGTCAGGATGGGAGAGGACCCTGGAGGTGTGGGCCCACCCAACATGCTGCTCCCGCTCTATAGTGGGTGCTCGCTCATCCCAGGCTTAGTCTCTGGGAGGCTCTTTGCTGTGCAAGCAGGAGGCTGTGGAAGTTCGGGGCAGGGACCAGGAATTCAGACAGAAAATGGGACTTTGGGCTGAGTGGGGCGCTTGACAATCAGGCTCAGAGATGAGGGCTTTTACCTGTCCCAGAGCCAGTAGGGGCTCCAGGCAGAGGATTTCTTAGGAACTTGGCTCATATCAGCAGCCCTGGCAGGTGGCTTGGAGAAATCAGTTGATCCTTAGTAATGCCATTAGCCCTTCAGGATGCCGGGTTGGTGAGGGAGAGGAGAGAGAGGCTGGTCCCTGGGAGTTTGTCCAACTGCTCAGTGTCTGAGCGGCAAATCTGTTACCACAATTTCCAGTACTCCTCGGAAGTGTAGTGTACCCCCCGCCCCAATCTCCTCTGACCGCCCTGTGCTGGTCACTGGGCTGTGGGAGTAACTCAGTGCATCCCATAGGAGAGATGGGCATGTCAGCAGTGCTCACCCAGGATGAATGAGGGGTGTCCGTGGCTATGGGAGGCCACAGAATCCTCTAGCCAAGCCTGGGCCTCAGGGAACCTCCTGGAGTACAGCTGAGCTGAGACTCAGGATGGGGAGGTGTTAACCAGGTGAAGGGACAGAAAGTTTGGAGCATGAGGATGGAGGAGCCGGAGACCAGATCCTGGGCATTTGCTTGTTAAAAAGCTCACTCTGGCTGCAGGTGAGAGCTTAGATCGGTGGGGCACAGCCCACCATAGGGAGGCCACAAGAGTCCCTATCCAAGGGAGAGATGAGACCAGGCCCCAGGGCATTGTCCGAGGGATGAGAAAAGGGCTTTGAGAGATGTTAGGAACAAGTTGAGGGTGGTGAGGAGTCAGCATGTATGTGCTGGGTCTGTGAGGCCTGGGTGACTTTGCTGGGAGACAGGCAGGAGCCACCAGCTATCTCGCTGGAGGCAGAGATTGGGTAGCCTTGGCTGTGCCTGGTGTCTGACGCTGTGGGAGATGAGCTGGCCCTGGAGAGCACACACCCGGGAGAGGGAAGAGTCTCGCTGCCCAGAGATGCCCCTGCAGTTAATGAATGACCTGTGAAAATTCACCTGAGAGACAGGCAGTTCCAAGAGCCACAGTCAGCCGAGGCCTGGTGCAGGAAGCTCTACTTCCCTCTTTTCCAGATTTGAAAAGGAATTTCTGTGCCTGGGTGGGTTGTGCTGTGCAGTTATGGGAGTGGGGGGTGGAGGAGGGCAGAGGACACATGGGGATCAGCCCCGGGGTTGGGAGGGTCCTGGGACAGGAATGGGAGGCAGGGGAACCCGGGTCCGGGCTCTAGCTCACCTGCTCTACCTTGTCACTGCAGTGATGTGCCCTCCCAGCCACCCCCATTATCTGGTCTCCTACAGAAGTCAAGGCAAAGGCTGCCTGCCATCTTACAGACTCTGAAAGCAAGGCTCAGGGCAGAGCCCAGAGAAGGCCTAGCCATATGGCAGGTCAGTGGCCCAGGCAGAGCAAATCCCAGCTTCTTTCTGTATATCAGCTGCCTCTTCCCTTCTTTGGGAAGCAGGGGCAGATGTGGTTGACCTGAGGCCTTGATCTGGGGATACACAGAGTAAGATCTGGCTCCCTGGCTGTGGATGCTGGCCTTCTGCCCTCTCTGGAAGGCTGTGAATATGTGCATACACTCCTTAAAGCACAACTGAGCACATCCCCCTGCACCTGCCTCCCAGACCTCCCGAACTCCATGGAAACCCCTTCTCATACTGTCCCCAGGCCCTGGGCTTGGCACAGCTCAGAGAGCCCCCAGCAGCTGCACTATATTCCATATGCCTCCCCAGAGAGCCACGGCCACAGAGGCTGCACCAGACAGTTCTCAGCAATTAGGACGCTTTGGGGCAGTTGATATTTCCAGCAAGCCCCTAATGTATCCCCCCCACCTCAGACCGGAGGGTGTGATCCCTGTGCTAAGGTTAGCATTTGGTGGGTGGGGGGTGGGGGGTAGAGGCCCTGAGTGAGGCCCAGAGGTGGAAGTGGTGGATGGGCCTGAAACCCTGCGTGCTGCTGCGGTGCAGCCCCTGGAGCACGTGGACAGTGGCACCCTGACCCTTGCTGCACCGTGTTAAGTGCCCACAGCCCCCCTTTACTCTCTCCAGCATACCTGCAGTTGAGCCTCTGGCTCATGAGCCATTATAGCCTGGCCATTGCACGGGTCAGCAAGCCCTCCCTATAAAGGGCCAGGCTGTAAGTATTTCAGGCTTTGTGGGCCATATGGTCTGTAGCACAACTACTCACATCTGCAGTTAATAGTTAAAGCAGCCAGACAATACATAAACGAATGAGCATGGCTGTGTCCAGTAAAACTTTATTTATGGACACTGAAATTTGACTCTCACATAATTGTCATGGGTCACAAAATATTCTTGTTTTGATTTTTTCCCCCAACGATTTAGAAATGGGAAAGCCATTCTTAGCTTGTGGGCTCTATAAAAATAGGTGGCTGGTTGAATTTGACCTATAAGTTCCAGTTGGCCAGCCCCCGGGTTAGAGCAAGGCTCCTGGAGCCAGACTGCTTAGCTCTGCTGTGTGACATTCAGCAAATGGCTAAATCTTTCTGTGCTTCAGATTTCTCATCTGCACAATGGGGATGATACTTTGGGAGTGTAAAATGGCATAGATACTTTGGAAAATGGCATTTGGCAGTTCTTCAGAAGGTTAAACATAGTTACCATGTGACCCAGCATTTCTATCCCAAAGAGAAATGAAAACACGTTCATGAAAAACTTGTTCATAGCAGTGTTATTCATTACAACCAAACAATGGTAATAGCCCAAAAATATGACGGGATAAAGTAGTACATCTGTGCAACTGAATATTATTTAGCCATAAAAAGGAATATAGTACTGACGCTGTAACACGGAGGAACCTTGAAAACCTTATGCTAAGTGAAAGAAGCCAGACAGACACAAAAGGCCATGTGTCATGACTGCCCTTAGGTGAAACATCCTGAATAAGCAAATCCGTAGAGACAAAAAGCAGGTCAGTGGTTGCCAGGGTCTGGGGTGTGGGAGTGCGGTGGGTGGGGAGTGCCTGCCTATGGGTTTGGGGGGTTTTCTGGGATGATACAAATGCTTTGGAATTAGAGTGTGGTGATAGCTGCTCAATGTTGTGACTATACTAAAAACTGGACATGCTAATACTGAGTTGTCAGCTTTTATGATAACTTATTTTAAAATATTTTGAAATTCTATGCCCTGGGCACTGTGCTAGTTGTCAGGCATACAGCAGAGAATAAGATGGACAAAATTTTGCCTTTATGAAACTTTCATTATATAGAGGGGCTAGGCAGATAAGAAACAAAATATGTAAATTACACTTGAGAACATAGTTGAGAAAGCTGAGAATGGCTGAGGGAGTGTGGGGAGGGCTTGCAGTTTTACAGAAAGTGATCTGGGAGAGTCTGGTTGAGAAAAATATTTGAGCAAAGACCTTAGGAGAGGAAGGGAAGGAGGGAGCCATGTGGGGTTCTAAGGGAAGAGTATTCCAGGCAGAGGAGGCAGCAGTGTGTGGGGGTGGCAGTTAGGTCAGGGGACTGTCCTGAGGGACCAGCAGGTGTTGGCCTCCGACTGCCAGGGCAAATGGGACCCACTGCGGGGCTCTTTGCATAGGCTGATCTGCCCTGGCTGAGGTTACAGTGACTTTTGCCAACTTCTCACCCCTCCCCTGCCTCACAGACCTGTGCTTTCTCCTACAGGACCAGCCAGGGGCCTCCATGGGCACCTGAGGGCTGGGCACCAGGGCTGCAGGCACGAGCATGGTGAGACACCAGCCTCTGCAGTACTATGAGCCACAGCTGTGCCTCTCCTGCCTCACAGGCATCTACGGCTGCCGCTGGAAGCGCTACCAGCGGTCCCATGATGACACCACTCCGGTGAGCCATGCTGGGCCCTGGGGGGAGGGATCTCAGCTCTGTCCCTCTGCTGTGCGGCTCTGGACAGGTCACTGCCCCTTCTGGGTTTCAGTGTCCCTCTACGAAATGGACCCATGGTAATTTTTTAATCTACCTGACATGGTGGGCAAGGAAGTCGGCCAGCCTGTCATGGATGTAGCCTGTTGTTAACTCTCCTCTGACAGCATGGGGGCTGGGCTGCTCCTGAGGTCTGGCAGAGAAAGGTGCTCCAGGAGGGGCATTCTAAGAGGAAGGGGTCACCCCAAGGTGAGCAGAAGTTCTCAGCTTCCTAGCAGATCCGGATGGGCAGGCAAGCAGGTAGGTGGCTGGAGGGGAGGGTGAGGAGGTGGGCCAGGCCGTCCTGGAGCCTGGGGGCTGGCCAGGCCATGGCCTGGCACCGGGGCCTAGTCACCTGAGCCAGAGCTGGCAGCAAGTGCTCAGCTGGATAAAGAAAGCCTCCTTTGGTGTCTGCCTCCCCAGGCCAGACCCTGAGTTGAGCCACACTGGGTCACTATCAGCTGGTGGATCTGATTTCTTCCCTCAGTTCCTTCAAGAGGGAAAAGAGAGAGATAAATGGTGTTTATCTAAAAGCTTTGCTGCGTGGAAAACAACTTTTCTCTTCCCTCCTGCTTGTCTGAACAAAGAAGCCAGCCTGCAAATTGAGCCAGCCCCAGCAAAACAGGCTGGAGCAGCCACAGGTGGGGGTCACTGCTGAGGCCAGAGGCAGGTATCACCGGTTATCTGGATAGGGAGGTTGGGGGAGGTTGTCTTTCTGTCTCTCCTTCCTCTCTGCCTGTGCTGGTGAGGAATGGAGTGCTAGACCGAGTCAGGAGCCTAAGTGGTGAGAAGTAGGAACCACCTGGTGGGCACCTGCCCTGATTTATTACCATGTCCCTGCTCCCAGCACAGAGGGGGTAACATGCCAGACTGACCAGGGAGAGGAAGGAGCCCGTCCAAGGCCACACCGCAGGTCCCTGCTGTGCTGGGACAGCAGCTCCGCTCTCTACCCAGGCCATGCCCAGGACAGCCGTTCCCTCTTGTGGTAACACGGGTTCACCCTACAGTGGTGCAAGGGAGTCAGGCAGGCCTCATGTTCCAATTGGGCCTCTTCTTCTTGTGCCTGCTTGATACCTGAGCTTTCTCATCTGTGAAATAGCACATAACCCCCTCAAGGAGCTGCTGGGTGGATGGCATGCAGTAATGGTGTGAAGTGACCAACTTAGGGCTGGCTGTGACTAGTCTTTATGACAAGTCATTCCAACTCCTGAGCCACCACTTCCCCTTTCTGAAATGGAAGAGGGGTTGGGTTAAGACTCCAGAATTCCTTGGCCACTCTGCTTTGCTCCAAACTCCACTGTCCCCAAAAACTGGGGCAGGCAGCCTGGTGCCCTTGTGCTGGGAGAAACAGGAGCTTAGCAGTCAGCTGGCGCCCTGTGCCGAGCACTTGTTTCCCCAGCAAGCCTAGGAGATAGATGTCACCACTGCCATTTCACAGAGGGAGACCAAAGCCAGGGCCGCCTGTCAGGGACTGGGCCGAGGTCACCCATCAGCGAGGGGCAGAGTGGGGATTTGGCCCCAGGCAGCGCAGGCCTGCCAGTGCTGGGTGAGGGTGGGAAGACTCCTCAGAGGAGATGCTGGAGGACACTGTACCTCCCAGGGTGTGTCTCACCCCTCGGTGGGCCAGTCATAGGCTGTGGGGTCCGGAGGTGGTGGGACTTCCCTGTGCCCAGCACAGGTCCAGGCTGGGGGAAGTGCTGGGCTGGGGCAGGTTTTGAACTGACTGGGAGCCCAGGTGCTGCATGCACAGCAAATGCCAAGGTCTGGGCTGGAGGGGCTAAAGGGGCCACAGCCAGCCTGGCTGGGGGAGGGGAGAGGGTTTTGTAAAAGCAACTCTGACTGGCAGGGCCTCTGCAGAAAGGGCTGAGCTCACCTCAGGGCCATGCACCTCACAGGTGAGGATGCCCACCTCACCACCACCACCACCCCCGCCCCCCACACTCACCTCCATCCCTCCTGGGGTTCTCCCAAGACAGGTGACGGAGGCCTGGGCTCTCTGGCCTCACACAGTGAGGGAACAGCGACCTGGTGTCTCCAAGCCAGGGCTCTGTAGAGTAGGTGCTCTGTGGATTTTGCAGAACAGAGGCTGGGAGAGAGCTCTAGGATAACAGGGAAAGGAGCACTGCCCAGGCTGTGGAGGAGAGGCCTCCGAAAGGGGAAGGAAGGGGGCCCAACTCTGGATCTGTGCCTCCTCTCATCCCCACCTTCCCCTCCTCCTCGGGGACCCCACCCTTCTCCCATCCAGGCACTGGCTCCCCTCAGGTCCTCCTGGGGAGCCATCCTGCATCTCCCAACTCAGAGGGGCCTAGAGTCAAGTTCTTTTGGGAAGCCAGACCTCTCTGAGCCTCCTCTGAGAAATGGGGTGACAGACAGGTGATGAGTCTCAGAGATACTTCACTCTGATCCTCACGCTGGGAAGTGAAGTGTGAGCCAAAGAGCAACAGTTAACATTGTTGAGTACCTATTTCATGCAAGGAGCAAATTGCTCATGTGTATTGACCTGTGAATTGTTATAACACCCCTGTGGGCAGGTTTGTTTTGCCTGGTTAATGGATAGAGAAGTCAAGGCTGAAAGCCACTGTCACACCTGGAATTCAGGAGCAATTGGCAGCAAGAGCCTCAGGAAGGTAGAGGCTGGAGGGAAGGATGCATATGTTTTGAATATGTGTGTGTCTAAGTGAGAGCCTGCGAGAAGGAGAAGAGGCCTGGAGGAAGTCTTGGGAAGTTGCCTAATGGAGGAGAAAGAGCACTGGACCGGGGCATTTGGGACAAGACAGGCAGTGGCTGGAATGCCAGGCTAGGAACCCTCCGTGTTTCAGTGGTTGAGATCTGGCCCTGCAGTACTGGAGTGGATCCGGGGAGGGTGGGGGCTGGGCGAGGAGCTGGGGAAGGGGCCTTCGCCTTCCTGCCCCGCCAGCCTGGCACATTTCCACCTCCTCCAAGCCCTTGCTCACACTGTCCCCTCCCCACAGGACACACACTGGACAAATAAGGAAACAGGAAACTTGGGACCAAAGAAGTGAAATGACCTATTCTCCTGGCCCTGCACGGAGGGGTGTGGGGGAGCCTGACAGCAAGAGGCCAGCTCACTCCGTGGCTGGGAAGGGGAAGCAAAGCTTTTTATAACTGGGGATAATTAATTGGTTGTTGTCTGACTCATTACTCTAATACTGCCAATTAAGAACTTGGTAGGACAAAAGATAGTTCTCAGGCTGTCCCCATAGGGCCCCCTGAAAACTGTGTATCTATAGGAGACAGCACAGGGTCAAAATTAGTTTCTCTGTAGCAAGAGGGATATGTGCCAGACACTGGGAGGAACTTCTAGCCTGAGACACTGAAGGAGACACACAGTGATCATCAACTCTCTTGCGCTTCTGTAGTACCTTTTGAAGGCTGTTTAAGCTTGTGTAACCCTCTTTATCTCACAGATGGGGCCCCAGGAAGAGAGTGATGTGTTCAAGCCCTGACATTGAGGGCCAGCCTGCACTGCCCCCTGCTTGCATCCACCTCCCTGAGCCCTCTCCCCTGTTCCATGCCGGACAGTCTTGTCAGGAACACACTGGTTGGTTACTCAGTCAGCAAACCTGTCCTGAGGCCTGCCCTGGGCCCTGGGGTCAGTCACAGGTGTATCAGACCGGGCTCCCCCTGCCCTTGGAAAGCTCCCAGGCTGGTGGGGGACAGATCAGAAAGGACACATCCTGACCACCCAGGGTGATCACAGCCAGGCTCAGGGAGACCCCAGGCAGGAAGGCTTGCCTGAGCTGGTGTCTGAGAGTTAGCCTCATCTTGCCAGTGTGGGGAAGTGTTCAGACAGGGAGAGCTTCGCGTACAGGAGAGCGTCTTGTATTTAGGAACTGAAAGCAGTTTTGCCCCAGAGTGGCTCTGGTGTAAGGAGGGGAGGGTGTTGCCTGATCTGTGCTGAGGAGCCTGCACCCCACCTGGGGCAGTGGGAGCCATCAGCCTCGGGCTGTGCAAGGACCTCTCTGGTCAAACTGGGGAGAATGCGGTGAGGTGCCTGGAGTGGAGGCAGGGAGGGCAGGGAGGGCTAGATGAGAAAGGCTGAGGACCCAACTCGGGGAAGGGGTGTGCAGGGATAGAGCAAAGGGGGGATTCTAGAGACACGTAGAAGGTGTAATCAACAGACTGGCTGTGGAAGAGACTGAGAGAATCTGATGATGCCTCCCCACATCCTGTCATTTCCAGCCTGGCTGGATGAGGCCATCTGGAGATGGGAATCCATGCCATGCCCAGGGGTGAAGGAGAGGGATTGTGGACTCAGTAGAGTCCAGGAATAGCACAGGGGTTGGGTGGAACTCAGACAAAAACAAATCTTGCACCCCAGTTGCCTGCCTCCTGTGATGGGAGCCCCTCCCTCCATGGCTGGGAGTGACCTGCTGTGGGGAAGTCTGTCAGCACCGTCTCTGCTGGGACACCTAGGGTAACCTTGTCCTGTGTAGCACAGTGCCCCTCAGGCTGTCCCCTTTTCCTGGAGTGCCCTTTCTCTCTTATCTCTGTCTCTTAAGGCTCATCACAAATGTCTATTCCTCTAAAAATAATCTCCCTCAAACCAAGAAAGAATGCCTCCCTCCTCTGGGTTCCTAGCACCTCGGGCCTGAGTTGCCCTGTGGATTGTGACTTTCTATGTCTCCCAGTGAATTCTGAGTCTTTTAAGAGGCGGGGCTCGGGTAGGCACTGGAAGGAGGACTGAGCAGCTCACTGAAGAGGGCCTTAAGGAAGGGAGTGCCTCTGCTGTGGTGTTGAAGGCCCCGGGAGGGCCAGGACCGCAGTGAGCTCTCTGGTGTTGGTTGTCTGGAAAGGGTGAACATACATGTGTGGACAGGTGCACGCTGGATTCCAGTGCCCCTGGCTGTGGTTGGCAGGGGAAGCTCCTGACTTAGCCACGGGCCCTCCCAGGCCACCCTTGGAGCTGAGGTTGGGCTCCGCCAATGGGCAGGAGTAGTTGGGTTGGGAGGGATGAGTTTCCCAGCTGGCTCCCTGCCTCTCTGTCCTTTCAACACCGTGTAGGCCTGGGACAAGGATGTGGTATAGGGAAGAGTGGATACCACTTGGGAATCAAGGTGGGCTCCCTGGATGAAGCAATCTTTGGGATGGGCTCCCAGTGTGATTGGAGTCATCCAGAAGCACCTGGGCATTCCTGAACAGGAGCTGTGGCCTGAACTCTACCCTGCCTCCCCCAGTGACTGAGTGTGGGACGTTAGGCAAGGGCAGACCCTCTCCAGGCCTCAGCTTGCTTGTGGGTTGGGTGGACATACAAATTCATGCGCCAAAGGTGGATGGAAGGGAGAGACCCCATTAGATATGGGTACCAGTGTGCCTCTCATGTCCTGTACAAGAGAGACGACTGTCATAGCCTTGGGGAAAACATGGCCTGCGTACAAACTTACAAAGGGATGGCTGTTCCCTTCTCTAGTCCTATGGTGGAAAGGGGCCCAGCAGGTCAAAGAGAGGCACTCTGAGCTTTGGTTTTCCTACTTCTAAAATGGAAACGATAAGACCCTGTGATAGGCTTTAAATTTTGTAGGTTGTTTTTGCATCCATGAGAGAGCAAGGAGAGACTGGCAGAGCCCTGGCATGCCATAGCACAGGGAGCTGAGGATTGATCACCGTAATAAAACCATGCTGTCTCTGTGGCTTTGGGAACCTACCTCCTTTCTGAATGGTGCTGGGTGTGCCTGGCATGGCCATGCCATGCTCCAGGGGAAGCAGCTAAGCTCCTTGTTCTTGACACTCTGAGACTGCCTTGAGCATTGCTTAGGGAGCGTGGATGAGACAGGAGATGATGGCATCAGCAGGGGGCTGCAGCCACCTACTTGGTGGGGTTCTCTGAGGTGTCTGAGATAATCCCTCCCATGCTCCTACAGCTCTTCTGCCCCTGTCTCCTCATGGGCTGGTACAGCCCAGGAGGCCGGGTACCCCAGGCTGGGCCTGGTTGCATTCTGCTGCCTAATGAGCCTCTGGGAGGGCACCCCAGCAGAAGCAAGGACTGACAGAGGTTTAATTGCCCAGCTCTCTGTAGCCCAGAAAAATAAATCGAGCCTCTTAGGCTGTCAGGAACCAGCTGGGGGTGGGGCTTCTAATCCCTTTCAGTGCTTGGCCCTAATGCTGTAATGCATCACAAACCTCCCCAGGTCTCCTGGATCACAGCCAGAGCCATCCTGCCAGGGCCTGCCCATTTCTCCCTTCTGGGAGCTCCCTGCACCCTTTCCAACAGACAGTCCTGGACTTTTTCTGTGCATCAATCCCCCTGTTTGGAACTTGGTGAGGGTGAGGCAGGCTGATGATTGGAGGAGCTAGTGTGCCCGAGAACTAGCCTGCAGGTGGGAAGACTCAGCAGGTAGGTACCCCTCAAATCTCTCTCCAGTCTCTGCAAGGCTGTGTGGTGCTGAGGGCACAGCTGGACTCTGAGACCTCAAAGCAGAGCCGGGACCACAGGGGTGGCACAGGGAGCAGAGCTCAGCCACGTGGAGAGAGCCATGCCAGGCAGAGCCAGCACATGGGGAAGGGGCTGCCTTGGGACAGAGTAGTGACCTAGGAACAGTCCGCACACATCAGAGAAAGTACTGTGTGGCGAATGAATGTGGAAATTACTGGAAATGTCACACATGGTATATAGACAGCTGAAGTATCTATTTGGGGAAAGTAAAATTAGATCCCTGCCTCTCTTACCTCAAACCAAAATAAATTCCAGATGGATTAAAATGTATTTTTTCCTATTTTTAAACTCCTTTTTCCTTAAGGAAGCACACATTTGTTGAGAAAATTCAAACAACTTGGAAGGATGTAAAGTAAAAGAAATTCTAATCATAATGCTTTAGAGAAACAGCTTTCAAACCTCTCCCCACCCTTGTATACTTCCATATGGAGCTATGGAGAGATGGATATAGATGGGTGGGTTATTGATTTAAAGGTAAAGAGTGAAGCCAAGAAATCACCAGTATAAAATATATGTTAAATATATAATCTTGGGCTACCTTCCTTAAATATGATATGAAAGGCAAAAACCTTATGTAAAGGAAAAGAAGGACACATTTGACTGCATAAAAATTGAAATTTTTATACAAAAGACAAAGTCAAATGATAATAAAAAAATACATAGTATGTATGAAGGTTAATACTCTTCCACAGAGAAAGCTTTCAGAAGCCCCTAAGCGAAGGAAGCCAGTCTACCTGAACAAAAGCTGCTGGGTGGTGAGCCTCTGCACCTCCTGCTCCCTCCCACCACCAAAATTAGGCTTTCTGACCTTGTCATCCTAGCAAGCTCATTCCTTCTAGCTCTGTTGCAGGCATCTCCTCCTCCAGGAAGCCCTCCAGACCATCCCTCCTCCCGTAACTAAGCAGCCAATGCTTGCCCCACTCACCACACTCATTCCTGGGATTGGAGTTGCCTGCTGGCTGGTCAGTCATCTGTGCAGGTTGCTCACAGTGGAGTCTCCCAGGGTCCAGGGCTCAGGCCGTGTATGTGGAGTGACTGGAGGAGAGTGGTGGTGAGTACATAGAGGGGAGGCGCTGGAATCAGGTTTAGTATGGGGTGTGAGGTAGAGGTCTCGTTTGATTTCCTACCAAATCAAAGTCCAGAGTCCCAGCACCATCTGTTGACCTCTCCATCCTGTCTGCACTGTTTGCCATGAACAGTCCTGTGTCCATTCCCCTTGTTTGGATCACAGTTTCTCCATTTCTTAATTGGACCTGTGGAGGACAAGGTGAGCTGATTTCTGCTCCTTTTTAACAGAAATTTCAGGGTTCCCACCCTGGCACTGCCTATAACAAACTGGGTGACCTTGGGCAAAGCCTTGCCCCTCTGAGCCAGTTTCCTCCCTGGTCAGACAAGGGTAATTCTATGTCCTGACCCTTCTGGCTGTGGGACAGTTGGAGACTCTGGAGGTCTCAGACCTGGGTGAGAATTCTGCCTCCACAGTGTTTGCCCACAGTGGCCTTGGGCAACTCACTTTCCCTCTCCGAGCCATGGTTTCCTCTGACTATACTGCCTGCTTTGCTGGGCTGTGAAGAAGAGGAGATGAGATGGAACAAGCAGTGGCTCTCAGGAGTACCCTCTGCAGCTCTGTGAAGAGCTCCCTAGGGCCCTGTCCTCCGTAGCCAGCAGTTTGGGGCTGTGAGGTGGGACAGGGTGACAGCTGGGCCAGGGTCCTCTTCCTTCATCCGTGCCGACTCCTAGCACAGCAGCCCACAGAGCTGGGCCTGACCTCTGCATCCTCCTGCCCATGGCACCAACCCTGGGCTGGGAGCAGGTGATCTGCTGGCTGTCCTCAGCAGCCAGAGAAATTTGGTGTAGAGCAGGAGGTGGGGGAAGACTTGACGACTGTCTTCACATAATTAAAGGGCTGTCAGATGCACAATGATAATTACAGGAACCATCATGGATTTGCAACTTACAGCTTACATCTGTAGTCGCATTTGAGCCTGGCAGCCCGCCCGTGAGGTAGAGATGATGTCACCCCGGTGAACAGAGGAGGAAGCCGAGGCTTGAGGTCTTGAGTGACTGGCCCACAGCCACGTGGCTAATGTGTAGAAGGGCCAGGAATTAAAATCCAGCTCTTGGTTATATTCTCCCATGCCCTGGTCATTGACCCCAGGGTTTCTTGCCCTTTTGTATGACTTTTTCTGTGCAGCATCAAGAGCCAGCTACAGGGTGGCAGGCAAGGAGGCAGGTCCCAGCTGCGCCACACGAGGGATTCAGGGAAGGAAGATAACACCCACTGCCCTGCCATCCCTGGTCTATGAAGCATGCCGGCATTGCTGTCCCCATTCTATAGAGTGGGAAGATGGTCCTCAGGATAAGTAAATCTTCTCCAAGGTCACCCACTTAGTAGGTGCCTAGTCTGGAATTCAAACCCAGCATTGCTGGACTCCCAAAGGCTGTCTCTCCCTATCCGGCTGCTGTCTTAGAAGGAAGAACCTTCAGTCGGGAGACCAGGCAGCATCAGAGGGGATGTGCCCATCCCTGGAGCTGCAGGAGCAGAAGCAGGGTGAGCCCCAGTGCTGGTGGCTGTGGAGGCAGTCTCTGCCCAGGTGGAGGGGTGGGGGAACTGGGAACAGGAGTCCAGCAAGGTAACTCGGGCTGGGCAATACCGTGAACCTGAAGTCTGTGGTGGTGGTACCCGGGCTAGAGAGGCAGCTCCTGCTCAGGGGCAGCCCTGATGCAGAGTTCAGGCTCCAGGTTCTTTTTGGGGACCCAGGGGAGGTACTCCGGACCCTGCAGGGTCCCGAGCAGTGTATGTGTGCATCTGACCTGCGGCCAAGGTCCGGGGCGTGCAGGGGCCTGTGGTGAGTGGCAGTGGGCTACAGCAGGGCCTGTGCCAACACTTCCTGGATGGGGCTCGGGTGTGTGGCTGCAGCCCGTGCTCTGAGACTGTGTGAGCCCCAGCAGCTAATAAGCTCTTCCTGCACATTTTTCTCTGAAAGCAGAAGGCTCTGGAGTAGGCGGGACAGAGACAGAGGGGTGAGGAGAAGACAAGAGGATCATCAGGAGACAGTGAGGAGAAGCAGCAGGCTCTGGGAAATTGGCACACTGCTGCTTGGTGCAGGATGGAAGGCCTCATCTTCCTGGAGAGTGGGGAAACAATGGGAGGGGATGAGGCACAGGGTGTCAGTCCGCAGCTCCCCAGCTGGGGCCCAGTCCCTTGCCAGCTGCTGTGAGCCCCCTCCTTGTGCCTGCTGCAGCCCAACCACCTCAGTGTCAGCTCGGGACTGCCTGACCTTTGTCCTGCTCCAGGCGGCTGCAAAGCTCTGAAAGGAAGGAGGCTGGCTGTCACAGGGTGTCCTTCCCTTGGTTCCCAGGGCCCCCAGGCTCAGCCTGAGGATAGGTCTGGTTGGCTGGTGGCCTTTGTGCACTGGGGGCTGAAGCCCCCTGTGTCACGTTCACCCCTTCTGTTCCTCAAATTATATCTGAGCACCACCTTGGGCTCTGCGGGATGTGGGCCCAGGGTCCACAGAGATGTCCCAGCTCTCCCTGCATTGAAGAAGTAGACAGCCCCATGTTCCCTGTTGTGCACCTTACTGTGTGCCACTTGATGTACATCACTTCACTTAGCATTGCCCTCCGAGGTAGGGGTTATTATTCCCACTTTATAGGTGAGGAAATTGAGGCTGAGGGGAGTTAAGTAACTTGCCCAAGTGGCAAAGCCAGGTCTCTCTACCTCTTGAGCCTGGGCTCTTTGCAGCTCCATGATTGAGAATGTGATGGAGGGTCAGATTGGTGGGTACCTAGAGTCTGTGCAGAAGAGGTCAGGGAAGGGAGGGCTTTGCAGCTGAAGGGATCAGAGGGCTTCTTGAAGGAGAAAGATTTGGCCTGGACATGGACCCCAGAAAGAGAGGAGAGAGGAATCCCAGGGGGCCATGCTGGGCTTGGGATCACAATACTGGGTCCCAGAGGGTAAGAGCAGGTTTGGGGAGAGCTGTGTGGGGCTGGCTCCCGAGGGGGCTGCAGAGGACTGCCTCCTGTCAGGATGCCTGAGTTTAACCTTAAACCCCTCCTCTATTTGGTGACCTTGGATTTGTTGCTCAACCTCTGACTCACCACCATGTACCCATTTTGAGCCTGTGTGCAAATTAGCAAAAGGCTTAATTGACTGGCTGATTGGCCAGGCCTCTTGACCTACCTCTGCTGGAAAATTGTTGTGATAAATATGCACATATGCTTCTGAGTGTTGTTGCTCAGCTCATCTTGCTCAGCTGAACGTGGTAGCCCTTCTCTGAGGCTTGGCATCTGTAACAGGGATAAACAACCCCAAGCCTTGTGTAGCTTGTGAGAGGTGACAGGGCCTGGAGATGCAGCTTACTGCCAGTGCGCCTGTGCTCTCCCCAGAGCAGGGCCAGGCTGGCTTGTTGAAGGGGGAGCAGACGCGCCCTGCCAAGGACCATTAGCACCACTGGGGCCTCTATCAGTGGCGCTGCTTCCCTGGCCACTTCTTCCAGACAGTCCCTGGCCTTCCTCTCCTTTTCTTCCAGCCCCTACCATTCAGTTTTTACTTCGATTGTTCTCAGAGTGACCCGCAGCTTCCTTCCCCACAGTGGCTGGGGCTTCTTCATCCCTATGTACAGGGGCCCTGTGCCCATGGGGCCTCTGGCCTCCAGCTCCCAGGACTTTCATCCCTACATGGCCCCCAGCCCCACCTTGTGCCTGGTTCTGATAATGGGGCTCCTAGTTCCTTGTCGCTGGGGCCTTGCCCCCATCCCTGCCATGCCCTGGGGGTCTCACCCACCTGCCAGCTCTAATTTTGTCACCCTGGCCAGTTTCCAGGGGCAGGGTACAGCAGCCCCTCATTCCTGCCCAGTCTGCTCTGCTCCTCTGTCATTATTTGACCAAGTGAGGACAATGGCCCTTAGTGCAATAGGACCCCTGTGGCAGGGGGTGAGGGAGCTCCTGACACCTATGGTTTTCCTGGCCACCTATCAGAATGGCCCTGGGCCCTGCATTGTGCTTGACGTAGGACACCTCCCCAGGACAGTTCTCTACCCTGCCACCATCCCTGAGCCAGCTCCTTAGGACCACCACCTCTCAGCCTGCAAGCTGCTTGCCTGGGGAGCACCCATCACAGGCCAAAGTGCACCCCCCACCTAGGCTCCTCTCAGAACCTTGCCTGCTGGCCGGGGCGCAGCAGCCTTGCCTTTGCTGAGATGGAGCCATCTCTGTGCACAGGTGGCCCCTCAGTATGCCTGCTCAGGGTCCACAGAAGACTGGCTCTGTGGGGGTAGGGTAGTGAGCCCCAGTGAGATCCCGCCTGGATGGGTGTACTCATGGCAGAGTAGGAGAAAAGGTCTTTACTCACCTACCATTTCATTACCAAATCTTCCTTAAGTTCCCACCCTACCTGGAATATAAAGACCATCCAGATCTTGAGGGAGAGAGTGACACATGGAGAGTCAGATATGGAACTGTGGGTCTGTGTCCAACAGATGTGGGTGAGAGGGCTCTGGAAGCTCTGAGGAGATGGGATTCACCCTTCTGGGACAGAGAAAGCCTCAGGGATGGGGTGGCTGTGCAAAGGCACATGGGTTTGAAAAAGCCTGTTTGAGGAGCTGTGGGTGATTGGATGCCTGGTGTGTAAAGTGCATGTGGGGCAGAGGTGGGGGCCGGAGATGCAGAGGGTAGCCTGGACTGAGGGGCAGTGGGGCTGTCACACTACGGCAGGACATGACCAGAGGTAGATGAGTCTTGAGGTGCTGATGTTTAAGCTGGCCTGCGACCCACCAGCTACACTTTGCAGGAAATGGGGCCAACAAATTCTTATTTGTGAGCAAATAAGAATTGGAGGCAGCAGGAGGACCTCTTAGAAGGACTAGCCCTGGGGGATGTTGGGCCAGCCAGGGTGGAGGTGCTGTGCTGTCTTACAAGGAGTGGCGGGACAGAGACAGAGGGGTGAGGAGAAGACAAGAGGATCATCAGGAGACAGTGAGGAGAAGCAGCAGGCTCTGGGAAATTGGCACACTGCTGCTTGGTGCAGGATGGAAGGCCTCATCTTCCTGGAGAGTGGGGAAACAATGGGAGGGGATGAGGCACAGGGTGTCAGTCCGCAGCTCCCCAGCTGGGGCCCAGTCCCTTGCCAGCTGCTGTGAGCCCCCTCCTTGTGCCTGCTGCAGCCCAACCACCTCAGTGTCAGCTCGGGACTGCCTGACCTTTGTCCTGCTCCAGGCGGCTGCAAAGCTCTGAAAGGAAGGAGGCTGGCTGTCACAGGGTGTCCTTCCCTTGGTTCCCAGGGCCCCCAGGCTCAGCCTGAGGATAGGTCTGGTTGGCTGGTGGCCTTTGTGCACTGGGGGCTGAAGCCCCCTGTGTCACGTTCACCCCTTCTGTTCCTCAAATTATATCTGAGCACCACCTTGGGCTCTGCGGGATGTGGGCCCAGGGTCCACAGAGATGTCCCAGCTCTCCCTGCATTGAAGAAGTAGACAGCCCCATGTTCCCTGTTGTGCACCTTACTGTGTGCCACTTGATGTACATCACTTCACTTAGCATTGCCCTCCGAGGTAGGGGTTATTATTCCCACTTTATAGGTGAGGAAATTGAGGCTGAGGGGAGTTAAGTAACTTGCCCAAGTGGCAAAGCCAGGTCTCTCTACCTCTTGAGCCTGGGCTCTTTGCAGCTCCATGATTGAGAATGTGATGGAGGGTCAGATTGGTGGGTACCTAGAGTCTGTGCAGAAGAGGTCAGGGAAGGGAGGGCTTTGCAGCTGAAGGGATCAGAGGGCTTCTTGAAGGAGAAAGATTTGGCCTGGACATGGACCCCAGAAAGAGAGGAGAGAGGAATCCCAGGGGGCCATGCTGGGCTTGGGATCACAATACTGGGTCCCAGAGGGTAAGAGCAGGTTTGGGGAGAGCTGTGTGGGGCTGGCTCCCGAGGGGGCTGCAGAGGACTGCCTCCTGTCAGGATGCCTGAGTTTAACCTTAAACCCCTCCTCTATTTGGTGACCTTGGATTTGTTGCTCAACCTCTGACTCACCACCATGTACCCATTTTGAGCCTGTGTGCAAATTAGCAAAAGGCTTAATTGACTGGCTGATTGGCCAGGCCTCTTGACCTACCTCTGCTGGAAAATTGTTGTGATAAATATGCACATATGCTTCTGAGTGTTGTTGCTCAGCTCATCTTGCTCAGCTGAACGTGGTAGCCCTTCTCTGAGGCTTGGCATCTGTAACAGGGATAAACAACCCCAAGCCTTGTGTAGCTTGTGAGAGGTGACAGGGCCTGGAGATGCAGCTTACTGCCAGTGCGCCTGTGCTCTCCCCAGAGCAGGGCCAGGCTGGCTTGTTGAAGGGGGAGCAGACGCGCCCTGCCAAGGACCATTAGCACCACTGGGGCCTCTATCAGTGGCGCTGCTTCCCTGGCCACTTCTTCCAGACAGTCCCTGGCCTTCCTCTCCNACATCTGTGTTCATATGTGGAATGGGACTAAACAGCACAGCCTGGCTCTGTGCGTAACAGTGAGTGGAGGAGGTGGCTTTCACTGTCACCTAAGATTGGGCCCCCTTGCTCACAGCAAGGCATGGAGTGGGTACTCAGCATGTACTTTCATGGCTCATCAGGGTTTGAGGGCCGTTCCCATGAGCTGGGAGAGGCAGAGCCTGCTTGTGGAAACGCTGAGAGCACCTTCTGCTAGCCAGGCATGCATCTGAGCATTTGACTTGTGTTATCTCATTTAATCCTCACATCTGCCCTATGGTGTAAGTACTGTTATTGTCCCCATCTCAGAGAAAGAAACTGAGGTGCAAAGAGGTTACATCAGTTTATAATGCCCAAGATGATACAGCTTTTAAGTGGTAGACAGGGAGTCTGGCTCCAGACCCCTGTGCAGTCTTTTGGCAACATAGGGTGGGGGTCTTCTGAGCAGTGACTGACTTTCCTTCCTCTTATACATGCATTCCTGCCTGTGGCCGTAGACAGGCAGGGAGTGGGGCAGGCTCAGTCTTTGTCCTGCAGAACCCATAGTTGTTTAGGAGACACAGTCACATGAGCAGATCACAGTGCACAGTGTGAGTTTAAAGTCAGGGACACTAATGCTGTGGGGGCACTGAGGAGGGAGTATGGGTGGCAGGGGCAAAGTCCTGGAGGGCTTCACAGAGGAGGTGATGTTTGAGCTGGCTTGACAGGTGAGTGGGAATGTTAGTGAACAAGCCCAGGGGGCAGTAGCCCTTCCAGTGGGGAGGGAACTGGTCAGGGTAGGGGATGAAACCGGGGAGGCCCAGGTTGGGGGAACAGAGTGGCTTCCCTGCTTGGCTAAGCAGTGAGGATCGCAGAAACCTTGGAGAACTGCAGCGGGTCCAGCAAGGGGCCTGGGCAGTGGCCAGAGAGATTCCTGGGCTATGTCAAGCCCTGTAGTCCCTAAAGGGAAGGTGGTCTTGGTTCCTCCTGCACTGCCGTCCCCTGAAGGGCTGTTGGTTAGTTCTGATGATCTCAGTAGTTCTTAGAGAGCAGGATGTTCTGAGTGTGTGCTTCTGAGATATGGGGACGGGTGAAAGCAGGGATAGCCCAGGGGCCCAGCGGGAAGCACCTGCAGATCTCTTAGGAAGTGGCAGTGCCAATTCAGTGTCCCCCACCTGCCCCTTTACCCCCTGCAAGAGGCAGAGGGGTGACTTGGCCTAGCCCTGAGGGCAGGCGCCTGGTGAAGGCTGCAGAATATCACACTTTGAAGTCCCGAGTCTGGGCACTAGGCTTTAAGCATCAACTAACTTGCTGTGTGACTTGGGTGAGTTGCTATACCTCTCTGGGCCTCAGTGTATTCATGATAGCATGGGGCCAAGGTGAGGAAGAGCACCTGCTTTGTAAGCATGTGTGGGGCAAGGAGGTGAGGGATGTGACCTCCCAGACTGCAGATCACCCCACAGTACAAAGGTTTGAGACAGCTGTGGCCTCCACTCCTGGGGAATCACCAGAATAGGGGGACTGGCACACAGTGGAGAGGCCTCAGGCTGCAGCAGAGAGGGCCCAGCTCTGGTGGACCCTGACCCGCACTTGCTCCCTGCCATTTGGTAACTTCGGGCTATGTAGTGTTGGACAGGTCACTTCCCCTCTCTGAGCCTCGGGCCCCCACCAGTGTGAAGAGCTCAGTAATCCTTGCCTGCCAGGTTTGGCTACCAAGGGGGAGGAGGGAGGCATTCTGGGTAGGAGGGGCCCACCCCTGACCCTATTTGACCCATTTCCTGCTCTGCTCTTCCAGTGGGAACGCCTCTGGTTCCTGCTCCTCACCTTCACCTTTGGCCTCACACTCACCTGGCTCTACTTCTGGTGGGAAGTGCACAATGACTACGATGAATTCAACTGGTGAGTGAGGGTGGGGGCCTGGGTCCAGGCATCTGGTAGCTGATATCAGGGGGCTTGGGTTTGAGCTGCTCTCCCAGGGTGGCCCCCAGAGCTGTGCCATCAGCTCCCTGTGTGGCATTGGGAGCAGTGTCCTCTGGAGAGAATGGAGGCTTAGCAGGAGCTGAGCCCAGCTGGGGAGAGCAGGAGACCTCCTGGTGCTGCTATCATGAGAAGTAGGGGTGGCAGACTGGCAGGGCCCAGCCAGAGGCTGAGAGCGCAAGGCCTCAGCAGAGGAAGTGGCCCCAGACCCCAGGCCTCCGAACTCCCTGGGGAGGGCCTTGCGGGGGCTTGTAGGTGCTATGGTCTGGGACCACTCAGTGTCCTTTGTGGGCACCTGCCTCAGGTCCAAGGCTGTCTGAGCCTGATACCTGGGTACACAAGGGCACCTCTTCCTTCCTTACACCTCTGTGAAGCAGTGGATGGCACTGGGTGGGGGTGGAGTCCCAGGGTTCTTGTGGGAATTCCTCCATTGACAGGTGTGGAAACTGAGGCCCAAGGTCACACAGCCCGTTGGGGGCAGAGCTGGGGCTTGGAGGCCAGGCCTCTCTCCCCATCCAGTGCTGTCTTTTACTTTTGGCTTGAGATTCAGTTCAGTGTGACCCCAAGCACAGTAAGTGTCAGTCTTAGGCTGTTTCCTCTTATGTAAAATGGGGTAAATCCAACCTCATCAGGTCTTTCTGAGGATGAAATTAGGTGATGGATGTGCGAGACCTCAAAACTCCACCTAAGCTGGAGGGCCACTTCCCGGGAGGCCAGCTCTCCGTCCGGAATGTGGCCGTGGTGTGAGAGTTTGGAGCTTCTGACTCCAGGCTTCTGATGGACTGAGGTTCCAGGATTCTGTGGTGATCCTAAGATCCTACTCATGGAGTCTGGGCATCTGCTCCCTTCTGCATGGCCCTAGGCTGTGCCTCTGTTATTAATGAGTACAATAAAGGATGTGTTCCTGTCCCACCATAGATGGAGCCCGGCTGAGGCCTCAGAGGTGGCCTCTGGCTTTTAATAAATGTCACACATCAATGAGTCATTCATATAGGTACCCAGAGCAGAGGCACTCTGGTGGGGACATGCAAACATTCCCTGCTGGGCAGTTCTGCTGAACTAGAGGTCAGCTGCTTGGAAGACCATTGGGTCTACCCCATCATGCACAGATGGGGAAACTAAGGCCCAGGGGGGGCAGTTCTCACCAATGGCCATAAACACATATTGAGGGCAGTCTGAGGAGACTGAGGCTCGGAGAGGTTCTTGGCATGCCCGCATGTCCCACATGAGCCCTCAGCAGGCCCGACGGATGCTCAGGGAAGCACTGGCGGGATTGCTGAGTGGGCGGGGCCTGGTCACTGAGTCTGGCTGCGTCAGAGCTGGGAGCCAGCCAGCTGGAGGAGACACCTGCCTCCTTGGTGGGGGGTCTGACCTCTGCCCTGACTCCTCCTGGCAGGTACCTCTACAACCGCATGGGCTACTGGAGTGACTGGTCTGTGCCCATCCTCGTGACCACAGCGGCTGCCTTCACTTACATCTCAGGGCTCCTGGTACGTGCAGCTGCTCCCAGAGGAAGAGAGGCTTGGTCTGTGTCAGGCTGATGATGGAGGGGCCGCCCTAGTCAAAAAGGAAAACTGGCTTTTGCCACGGCCTCTGGGGTTGCTGCACCCCTCTGCTGCATCCTGGGCCTCAGATCTTCAAGGTGGGAAGTCGTCTTGCTTTTGCCCTTCCTATGTTTCCTCCCTGACCCAGCAAGAGTCATCTCACTGTTAGGGCCCACCAGACATCCTCTTCCAGAAACTTCTGCTTTGGTTCCTGCTGTCAGTACTCCATTCCCTCCGATTCAGGTGATCCCCATACTGGACTCCTTGGGGACAAGGCAAGGCTCGAGGCTGCTTAGAACCCTGAGGCCTGGAACTCCTCCCCTGGCGGTGGCCAGGCTCTGGCTCGGCTGGGCAGGCGTGCAGGGCGTTCCACCGCCTGCAGGGAGGGTTGGCTGGCTGCTCTGAGGCAGGCCCAGAGCAGCAGTAGGGAGTGGGGCGTCTGGGGAACTGACTCTCTGTCACTGGTGCCTGACTGCCACCCTGGGGCCCCTCCTCAGGTCCTGGCACTCTGTCACATCGCCGTGGGACAGCAGATGAACCTGCACTGGCTGCACAAGGTACCGGCTGCCTCCACGGGGCTGGGCTGGGAGAGGGGGCTTTAGGCTGCCAGGGACACCACAGCCCTCCCGGATCATGGCTGGAGTAGTCCCAGTAGTTAACCCACGAGTCACTGTGTGCCCAGCACTGTTCACAGTCTGGTCTGTGTTAACTCATTTGACCCTTACAACCGTCCTGTGATGTAGGTATTGCTAGCATCCCACTCTGCAGCTGGGAAAACTGAAGTACAAAGAGGTTAAGTGACTTGCCCGAGGCCTCCCTGTTGGAGGGTCCAGGACCCTCCCCCTGGCTGTATGATTCAGAGCACAGGCGGCTGGCTCTGCCTCAGGCCTCACCCTCTCCTCTTCATTCTTTGGGGAGCTCAATTTAAAACTCTGACGTGGCGATGTTATCCCCAGGTTAAAACCCTCTCCATCACTCCCGAGATGATCCAAACTTCCACTGCCCCCCCGACCCCCACCCGGCATAAGGCCCCACATGACTTGGCCCCTGCTGACATCCCAGCTGCTGTCACAGAATAGTCACCCTCAGGTTCTGCCACATGAGACATCTCAGGCCCGCCCAGCATGCCTGTCTCTTCCCTACTTAACCCCTTTGCAGTGGCCCTCCCTTTCTCCTTCCGTGGTTCCGCACCCCCCACCACACGGGCTGCTCAGGCTCCCCACAGTCCCCAAGCTGACCCTTGAAAGAACTGCACCAGCTGGCTCTCGATGGGGCTGCCACACACTGCGGTCACCTCCTGGGTCACGCCGGGTGCTCAGTGGGCCAGGTCGCCCCTGATTGATTTTAGCGGAATGGCCCTGGAGGCACCAAGGCAGCCGAGGTGGCATGTCTGTGCAGGGAGTCATCTCGGGGGTGGGAGGACCAGCTCCTCCACCACAGGGCTGCCGTCTCCCAGCATGCCAGGCCTGCCTGCCTCTCCCCTCTGCCCCCTCCCCTGGGATCTCAGTGTGAGATCCTTCCATAGCTCAACCCTCTGTGCCAGGAGGGCAGGTAGTTCCCTGGGGCTTAGAGTGTTCAAACAGGGACTGGAAATTCTGTTTCAAGATTCTATCATTTGATTCTAAGAGTCTAAGAAAGCCTTATTCCTTGTTTGGTTTTAACCAATTTTTGGCCATCTAACAAAACATAGACATGGTCCCAAAATTAAAAAGTATAAAAAAAGTACACAATGTAGATCTTCCTACCATCTTTCCAGAGATATTTTAGGGCACATATAAATAGACATACACATTTCTTTCTTCCTTTGTCTTTAAACATGAGCAGTGGCCTGCTCTGCCCCCCCTCCCCATCCTGCTCTTAGCGAGGCTCTCGGCCCTCCTCGCCCTTGAGCACATTAAAACCATCCCCACTGGTGCCCATCCCTTGCTCCTGTCCCACATCTGCTCCCTAGTTCTGGAGGATCTGGTCAGTGCCCTGGTGATGGGCGGGACAGACATCCCAGCTGCCTTCAGCGCATCACCAGGGCAATGTGGCCATGCCCCGGGTGGGAATGCTGGATACAGAGCATGTACTTGTGCAATTTTGATAGTTTTGGCCAAATTGCCTCCTTGCCAATTCACACTCCCTCAGCAATCTCCGATAAGCACACTCTCATTCATAAAGTGTTCCCAGATTTCTTGACTTTTGCCAATCCAGTGGTGAGAACGGTACCTCAGTGTAGTTTTAATTTGAAGTTTCCTTATGATGGGTTAGATTCGGCATCTTTCACATGCTTGAGTTATTTGCATTTCCTTTCCTATAAACTGTCTCTTCATATCTTTTGCCCTTTTTGCTATGAGATACGCTTTTTGCTTATTAATTTATAGGGGCTCTTTATAGACTCAGGAAATTAGCCCTTTGGCTGATGAACTACAAATAATAATTCTTAGTTTGTTGTTCATCTTTTGACTTTGCTTATTTTATTTTTTGCATCTGCATTTTCTTACTCTTATGGATGTGAATCTGTCATCTCTTTAATGTGTCCTGGGTTTTGTAATAGATGTAGAAAAGTCTTTCTATCATTATCAAAAATTTCTCTTTGATAATTTAGTAGTTTTATGTTTCTACTTCTTTTTAACATTTAAATTTTTTATCTTTTCAGAAGTTATTTTGGCATTTGGTGTGATCTTACTTTGTTCTTTTTACCCTCTCAGTGAAGGCCATCCTTCCCCTTCCAAATTGAAATGCCACTCTTACCATATACTAATTTTTTAAATGTGTTCAGATCTGTTTCTGAGCTTTTTATTTTCTTCATCTATCTCTCTGGTCTTATGCCAGTATCGTGCTGCTGGCTACTGTAGCTCTATGCTGGGTGTTAATCATGGTCATCATTTGGTGAGTGTCTGGTCCCCCAGGTCCTGAATAGTTGCTACTGAAGGACAGAGGTGCCCAGGAGAGTGTGGGGAGGGAGCCATCTGGGGCAGGCGGGGTACTGGGAGCAGATCAGATGTCCACGTAGAGACCATGCCCCTCTCCCCAGAACTCCGAGTTCCTGTTTCCCCTCCCAGGTGAACCTCCAGAAGTCCAAGGGCTCAGGAGGTAAGGCAGGAGTTTGGAGGTAGCTGGGGCTACCTTTCCCCGAGACAGCAGAGAGCTGGGATTTAACTGAGGCATGTGACTTAGATGTGACCCTGAACCCTGGCCATTGGGACCACAAAGCCCAGATTCCAGCTACCCTGCGAGACCAACTTGTTGCACCTCTGCCAGGCTGGGTTCCAGCTCCTGTCGGGTCCCAGCATGGAGGCAAGGCTCGCTGAATGCACCTGCACCTCCTGTTCCTCCATCCTGCGCCCTGGCATCACTAACCAGTCCCACAGAAAACCCAAGACTGCTTTCTCAGAGGAGGACAGTGGGCTGTCTCTGGGCCTTATGGGTATGGCTTAGCCCCACCAATCCGATTTGAGGAATGGCGGTCGCATTGTTGGGGGTCAGTGCTGTTACTGTGGCTGAAGGAGACAGTGTCCCGCAGATGTCGAACACTGCACTGTGCTGTTGAGCACAAGGATTTGCCAGTAGAGCAACTGCAAAACTCATAGAGGATAAAGATTTTTTATTGCATTAGGATATGGGGAATCAGTTTTATTGTAAGTATTTGCCAGCAGTTCAGTGTAATAAGATGCTTTCAGAAACGAGCCTTCAGAGACACGTGCTGTGCCGAGGGCCTGCCTGGAGAGGGGCAGCAGGGGGCAAGGAGCCTGCTTTGAGGGGCACTCTCAGGGATGATTAGGACACTTCTTGGCCTCCCTTCACTGAGCATAATGTCCCAGAAAGGGCATGACCTCAGAGAGGCAGAATGGGGCTTGCTTCTGGATCTGCCCCCTTCGAGCTCTGTGGCAAACAAGCCCTATGTCAAGCCCTGTTTCCCTGTGTGTAAAAGCAAGTGGACAATACCTCACATGGGACATTAGGAAAATAAACATGAGGAAACTGGAAGTGCCTCCCACAGACCTGGGCATAGGTGCGCCCTCTGGGTACCTGCTTTTCTCCCCTTTCTCCATCCCCAGGCTGGCATGTTACAGTCCATAAAGGCCCCTACGCATCTCAGCCTTATTGCTGGTACTTACTGAAACATTTGTTTCCAGGCTGATGGGCTGGAATGACAAACCTCCAAAGGAAAACTTCATCTCAGGCAAAAATGAATCTTCCCTGCCTGGGCCACGGCCGACAGAGCCACCGTGCACACCAGCACCACCACGAGCCCTGTCTGTGCCCTTACTATGTAGAAAGTCGGTTTCGAGCTCATGCAGATGGAGGGCTCTCAGAATGCGGCTGCCTCAAGGAAAGGCACTAGAGGGAGAATGAGGGGCCGGGGCTCTGGTGGCACGGCTGGAGGCTGGAGTGGGGAGTCAGTAGGGGAGGGGAGGCTGCCTCCCCTGATGGGCAGGGGCGGGGGCCTTGGGGTGGCCCTGTGACCTGCGCTTTAGGCAGGCAGGCCTGGCAGTAAGGGGCAGGTGGCCGGAGTGAGAGCCGGGACTCAAGGAGGGAGCGCTGGGTTCTGAGCAGCCAGAAACCAGGCTTCACTTAGTTTTGGGAGCATCTTAAATTGCATGAGATGTTTCCGTTCCCATCTGTCCCCAAGATCCCTGTCCTGTGGAGGCTCCGCCTAGTCTTCTGTCAGAGCTGTGCCCCTTGCTTTGTCCGGGAGGTGGCTGAGCCGGCAGCCCCATGAGGGCCCTGGAGGCTGGAGGCTGGAGCTGAGTGCAGGCCTGGCGCTGCTGCGGGCGGGGCAGAGCCCTGCCTCACCTCTGTTTGCTCTGGCCCGGAGGGCTGGCCTGCCGGCTCTGCTGCTGGGCTGGGTATCTGGCCCCCACAGAGGACTCACTTCCTCAGCCTCCTGCCCTTGTGCTCTGGGCAAGTCAGTGTTCACCCCAAAGGTTGCTGCTGGCAGAGCCTGGGGAGGCCCTGGACTCTACCTGCTGGGCCTTCCCTGCTCATCCTCAGTGGGGCTGAGCCCTGGGGCTGCACCTCTGCCTTCCCAGCTCCCTCTCCCCTCCTCTCCCCTCCTGCCTCCCTTCTCCACCGGGCCTGCCTGCCTCCGCCTGCCTCCATCCCTCACTGTCATCCCTGTCTGGCTGTCTTTCAGTCTGTGCCCTTCCTGCTTCCCCCTCCCTGCGTGTCAGCCGCTCTTGTGCTCTCTAGCTCTGCCGGTGTCCCTCTCTGTCCCTCTCTGTCCCTCCCTGTCTACCTCTGCTGCCCCTCTCAGACACACTGGGGACCTTGGGACTGTCCAGGCACACCTGTCCTGACCCTCTGTCTGGTGCTCTTCCCCTTCCAGATAGGGCTCGTGGTTGTGCTGGTGTGCACGGTGGTGGCCCTGTCAGCCGTGGCCCAGCTGTGGGAGGATGAGTGGGAGGTGCTGCTGATCTCCCTGCAGGTGAGTGGTGGGCGGGCGGGGGCTTCAAAACAGGGCAGCTCTATTTTATCACTCCCAGTTCTCTGGGGGGTGGGAGGTGCCCAGGTCCCACAGCAGGCCAGACAGGGAGGGTGCTCCAGCCCAGGGGTACTGGACTCTTGAGTTTCCTCTATTAAAAAAGGGAGACAGAGTTGCCTGCCCCATGGGTAGAGATAGGCTGTCAGAGGGTCTGGGCACGGCTGGGAGCCAGCAGCCCCTCTTGCCCCTTGCTGCTCACAAGGGCACGGCGCCACTCCTGCATCTCGGGGCCCTGGCTGCTGTCACCTTGCTCTCCTGGATCGTGGCAGGACAGTTCGCCCGCACAGAGCGCTCCTGTAAGTACAGCCCGTTGGGACCTGTCTCTCCTGCCTTCTGAGTTCCAAGGCCAGCTTGTCCTGCCCTCACCTGGCCATTACCTGGGTGGCCTGGGGATAAGGTGGGGCCCTTGCTGTCAGCATGGTGGTGGTTGGGGGCAGGGGTAGTCTGGTTCAGAGTGGCCTACAAGCTCCATGGAGGGTTCCAACCTCAAACAGCCTTACCTGCGTCGTCCTCTGTGTCTCTTTATGAGCCTTGGTGCAGGGCCCCCCACCAACCCCCAAGTATAGGCATCCCAACAGGAGAAGGGAAGAGGGCTGTGGCACCTTCCACCTCTGCCCCGCTGACCTGCCCAGAGCTCATGGGTAGTCCTGGTAGAGGCCAAATGTCTCCCCAGGCATGCTTACCACCCTGTGTCTGCAGCCTCCCAGATGGCCATTCTCTGTACCTTCCTCACCGTGGTGTTTGCCCTCTACCTGGTCCCTCTCACCATCTCCTCTCCGTGCATCATAGAGGAAAAGGACCTCAGCCCCAAGCCTGCCCTCATTGGCCACCGTGGGGCTCCCATGGTGAGTGCCAGCGGGGCGGGGGGGCTGCCATTCAAGGGGGCAGAGGTGAAGACCTGCCTCTTTGTGCAGAGGACCTTGTATAGAAATGGATATAATACAGGTAATATAATAATAGCAACCACTTTTAGCCCTTTTTGAGTGGTACTTGGAAAGGACTGATAAAAAGGCTAGAGGAGCTTAGATGGGATCAAACCCTTAAAGAGCCCTGAAAGCATGTTGCTCAAAAGACTTACTTTTTATCTTGAGGGCACTGAAAAGACGCAGGAGGGTTCAGGCCGGCACCAGACTCTGCCAGGTTGTGGGCTAGGAAGGCCCAGGAGAGAGAGAGGGGCCAGTGTAGGGTAGCAAGCAGGCCACAGTCTGTGACAGGGCAGGCATGGCAGAGGGCAGCTCAGAGCCCACCACTAAAGGGAGGATGCCAACTCGGGTGGAAGTGGAGAGGGGAGGGAGCCACCATCAGTGCCCTGCTCCTGCATCGATGCACCCCATGACCTCACAGTAGACCTTCCGCTTGGGAGGGTGGGCTCCAGAGCTATGCTTCCTTGGCCCCTCGGCAGCTGTGGGAGCCTGGACCAGTTCTCATCTTCTCTGTGCCAGTTTCCTCATCTTGTACGCTGGGATAGTGAGAGTGCCTACACCAAACGGCCATAGGAAGCAGGAGTTATTTAGCATGTGTGAATGCCCAGCCACGAGCCTGTCACACAGAAAGATGTAGACATTGTGTCATTCGGGGCAGGCCCTCCCCTTCCTCTTCTCTGGTCCGGGGCCCAGGAAAACCTTGACCAGTGGTTCTCAACAGAGGCAGTACCACTTCTCACTCCCATGGGGCACGGGGACTTCCTGAGAGCCTTTTCTTGTCACAGTGATTTCAGAGTTCTATGGAGTGGTTGAATTTCAGGGTAGTCAGGGCAGGCTGTCCAAGCAGCTTTTGAAAGGCTATGTTGAGTCTGACAGGGCTGCAAACCACTCTGAGATATTCCCCAGTTATGTGTGGTGAGTGTTATTGTGCCCGTTTTTGAGATAAGACTCAGAGAGAGACCTGTACACATGAGCTGGACCTGTGCCCTCCTGGCCTGCCCTGGAGGCAGCCAGCTGGAAAAGCATGGCTTTGGAGTCAGAGGGATCTGCATTTGGGGTCTAGTTTTGCCACATGCTGCCTGTGTGTCCTGTGAGGTTGCCAGTCCCCTGTGAGCCTCATGCCCGTGTCTTTTTCTAAGGATAAACTAGAAGCAAAGCCCTCCCAGGTGGGCAGGGCCCAAGATTATAGCTTCTCTTCCTCCTGACCCAGATTGTTTACCCCACCTACTGTGGAGGACAAGGGACCAGCCAGTGTGCTGAGTGGGGTGGGTGGCCCCAGCATGGATTGGTCTTTTTAGTAGAAAAATTTCAAACTTTCACAGAAGTGGAAAGAACCATATAGTGAATTCAATACCACCTTCAACATTTACCAGCATTTTGCTATTCTTGTTTCATCTACCTCCCTACATTTTTTTCTTCTGCTGTAATATTTTAAAGCAAATCTCAGATACTGTATCATTTTGCCCACATATACTTTATAATACATCTCTAATGCATTAAGGATGTTTTTTAAAAAACACAACCACAGTGCTGCCAATACACCCAACCAAATTAATAATTCCTTAGTATTATCTAATACTGAATCCACATTCAGTTTTCCTTTCTCACTATAAAAAATATCTTTTTATAGTTGTTAAAAGTCAAGATCAAAACAGGATCCACATAGTGCATGTGGTTGTCATATCTTCTAAGTATCTTTTAGTGTGTAACAGTCCCCCTCCCTTTTTTCCATGTGCTGTTTATTTGTTGAAGAAACCGAGTCGTTTGTCCTGTAGAATTCCTCCTATTGTTAATCTGGCTGATTGTGGTTTTGAGGCACTGGCCTGGAACTCCACTGTGTGTCACTGAGAGTGCACACATACCGGTGCCTACACCTGTGCCTATCATTCTGACTCTGGGTTCTCAGAACCCCAGCTGTTCTTCCATCCCTGCACCTGGTCCTGACCCAATCCTTGGTGTGGTGCTGACCCCCAGTGGCAGCAAGGGGTATGACAGGGCCCTCAGACCAGGCAGAACTAGGGAGACTTAGAATGCTGACTCTGCCAACTGAAAGGCCCCTCAGAGAACCGTGAATATACACCCCCAAGGGGCAAATGGGGAAACTGAGACCCACAGGAGAAAGATGCACCCAAGGTCACAAAGCAAGTTAATGGCAGAGTCAGGGCTAGAACCAGGCTAGAACAGAGTTAACAGTTGTCATTTATCAAGTACTTATTGTATATCTGGCAACATGCTAGGGGCTTTTAATCCATGTAGCAGTCCAGGAGATGGCCTTTTCATGTCTCTGTGAGGAAACTGGTCATCCTACTGAAATTGATGTCCTATCTGCCCTCTCCAGGATCTCCGCCTAGATTTAGGGTATAAGCAGAGGAAACATGGCATTCAGCCCCAGCCCAAGACTAAAAAAAGCCCTCCTGCCTCCCACCCCTACATGTATATCCATCAATACCAGCTTCCCCTTCCCCAAAAAACCTGTGTGGCAGGCATGATTTAACAGATAAGGAAACTGAGCCTCAGAGAAGCTGCATGGGTGCCCAGGGTGACAAAGCTACTGGTTGGAGGAGTTTAAGTTAGAACCAGGCCTACTCCAGCCTCCTAACATGGAAGATTTTCCATTTACTGGGGTGTGCATATCAGTTAAATCTCAGCTCTCCCCTCACCACTCCCTCCCTTCCCAGCTGGCCCCAGAGCACACACTGATGTCCTTCCGGAAGGCCCTAGAGCAGAAGCTGTATGGATTACAGGCTGATGTCACCATCAGGTAGGTATGGGAGTAGGGAGAATGGCACTGCCTCCCGTCCTTACCTCATCCACATCTGGGGACCTGCTGGAGGAAATGCATATCCCAGAGCTTCAGAGATGGAAAGCAGAGGCTGGATTATCCACTACTGGGCAGGCACTCTGTGCAAATAAATCTTGTGCCAACTCCAGGATATAAAGTAAAGAATAGATGCTCTTGGTGGAAATGGAAATTATGTTGTTCAACCATTATGGAAAGCAATATGGAGGTTCCTCAAAAAACCAAAAATAGAGATACCATTTGACCCAGGAATTCCACTCCTAGGAATTTACTGAAAAAAACAAGATCCCTGATTCAAAGAAGACATATGCACCCCTATGTTTATCACAGCACTATTTACAATAGCCAAGATATGGAAGCAACCTAAGTGTCCATCAGATGAATGAGTAAAGATCTGGTACATATACACAATGGAATATTATTCAGCCATAAAAAATAAAACAAATCCTACTATTTGCAACAACATGGATGGAGCTGGAGGGTATTATGCTCAGTGAAATAAGCCAGGCAGAGAAAAACAAGTACCAATCATTTCATGCATTTGTGAAGTATAACAACAAAGCAAAACTGAAGGAACAAAACAGTGGCAGACTCACAGACTCCAAGAAGGGACTAGCGGTTACCAAAGGGAAGGGGTTGGGTAGGGCGGCTGGAAAGGGAGGGAGAAGGGGGTTAAGGGCACTATAATTAGCACTCATTTATAGGTAGGTCATGGGGAAGGCAGTACAGCATAGAGAAGACTAGTAATGACTCTATAGTACCTTACTATGCTGATGGACAGTGACTGCAATGGGGTGGGGAGGACTTGATAAGATGGGTGAATGTTGAAACCCCAATGTTGCTCATGTGAAACCTTCATAAGATTGTATATCAATATCTTAATGAAAAAAAATAGATGCTTTTGGTTCTAGCTGGAGTGGGAGGTTGGGACCTGGAGTCCTCCCACAGATCCACATAAAGGAAAGGCTAGATCTATATGGCTCAGCAAGATAGAGCTCAAACAGTGATAGTGAAGTAAGCACTTGATTGAGCCATATGTTCACTGTGATGTCAACTATATTACCACATAAAAGATGATTTATACATTTTCTATATGTAGATACATAAAAATGTATTAGTATAAAGGACAAGAAGAATCCACACCAATCTCATAACAGGTTATCTCTGAGGAGGGGAGAGTAGCAGGGCTGCCATGTATAAGTTGCACAGATTATGTGCTCAACAAGGGTACCATATATGTGAGGATACTGTTCCCAGTGTACATATCATAGAATCGTGTACTTTCTGGCAGTTGGCAATAGCCTTGAGGAAGGGAGTACAGGTGCCTTTCACTATTCGTTTTACTTTTGGCAGCCCCCATGGGATAGACCAGGATGGTGATAGAGCAGAATTTGTCAAAGTGGCCTGCTTTTGCACTGATCTCATTACGGCATCACAGGGACTGGGTTCTCAGCCAGATTCACCACTTACTGGCTTGTGGGCCTTGCACTAGGTACTTCCCTCTCCCAGCCTGAATTTTCCCATTATCAAATGATGTAGCACTGCCATCCAAATTTGCTAAGAGAAAAGGCCCAGCCCTCTGTCCTCAGCAGTCCCTACGCCATCTAACCCTTACAGAGAACCAGAGGGAGGCACCCACCAGCCCACTGTCCCCCATGTGCAGGCCTGAGGCCCAGGAGGCAGAGCCTGCTTGTGTCCCCTCGTGGGTGGGGACAGCGTGTGGTATGTGTGATCACTGGGGGTGGGGTGGGCATCTGGGTGGATGGTGACTCAGTGGGCCCACCCTTCCTGCAGCCTGGATGGCGTGCCCTTCCTCATGCATGACGCTACCCTGCAGCGCACCACCAACGTGGAAGCAGCGTTCCCCGAGCTTGCCCGCAGGCCTGCCTCCATGCTCAACTGGACCGTCCTGCAGAGGCTCAATGCTGGCCAGTGGTTCCTGAAGGTCTGGCTGCCCCTGTCCCAGCCTTAGGCATGGAAAGCACAGGTGGGGATCCTGCAGAGTGAGAGAGCCAGGGGTGGCCATCAGCTCAGGTGACCCCTGCCCCCGAGCCTCCTTGACTCAATGCCAGGCCGGTTAGCAGCCTCCCTGGGCTCCTGCCACTGTGTCCCAAATGCCCTGGCTGTCACTGCTCGCTTTGCTGCTGTGTCTCCCACTGGAGAAAGTTGACATTGTTGATGATAGTTAAATTGTTTAGTCTGTAAATCTCTGTGGAGGGAGGTTGGTCTGAAATGCTACTTAAGGGATAATGTGCTGGGGTCTGGGAGACACTCCAAGCAAATGATTCTTTTAGTAAGCAGGTTGTGGGATAGATTGGGTGGGGGTCCCCTAGGGTCATCATATCCATTTCCCTTACACACATATACCAGAAGCCACTGGCAGTTCAGGGGGCTCCACACTCAGTAGCCAGGAAGGCATTTGGCCCCAGAGGGCTGGCGAGGCAGCCATGTATGTCCCTGTCTCTGCCAGATGGACCCCTTCTGGACGGCCAGTTCGCTGTCGCCCTCTGACCACAGGGAGGCCCAGAACCAGTCCATCTGCAGCCTGGAGGAGCTCCTGGAGCTGGCCAAGGGCAACGCCACGCTGCTGCTCAACCTGCGTGACCCGCCCCGAGAGCACCCCTACCGCGGCAGCTTCCTCAACATCACAGTGGAGGCCTTGCTTCGCTCGGGCTTCCCCCAGCACCAGGTGAGCCTGGTATCTTGGCCCTGTCAACCCTGCTCCTTCAGGAGCCCCGGGATCCCAGGCCTGGCTGGAGCAGGACTCGAGCCTAAACTCACCACACCCCTTCTCCAGACCTGTCTCCACATTTGTAAATGGGGGTAGCATTCCCCCCTGATGGAGTCACTGTGAGGACAAGAGGGAAATGGGAAAGTGCTTTAAAATGTACAAATGGTGGATTAATGATTGTACATTGAGCACTGACCCCCCTAAATTGAATTTTATTGTTGTTAACAACCATTTGATCAATAAATATGAGAGATGCCCTCTCAAAAAAATAAAAAAATAAAAAAAATAAATTTGAAAAAAAAAAATGTACAAATGGCAGGAATGGTCCAGATTCTCCAGAAGACTGTTGCTTGGCAAAGTTGCCCACCTCCTTGTGGTATGATACTTGGAGACCAGATGAATCTGGCACAGCTTAGGATAACCCTCTAGGCCCTGCGGAGTCACTGGTGTTTGGGTTCTGAGTCTTGCAGTGCCAGGGTCTGGAAGGGAAGCTCCCTGAGTTGTTGCCAGAGCAACAACTCTGAGTTCCTGCCTGTCACCTCCGACAACTCCCACACCTTGTCCCAGGTGCCTTCCCCTCTCTGGATCATGGTGAGTTGGGAGATGGCAGGCAGGATGACTTGGCTGGAACCTAGTCATCCTCTGATGATGATCATTACATGTAAGCTTTCACTATGCACCAGGTTCTGTCTCTTTCAGCCCTTCCAGGTGCTCTAAGAGGGAGAATCACTCTAACCCCATTTGGCAGAAGAGAAATCTGAGGCCGCCCCCTCTCCTGCCTGCAGGTCATGTGGCTGCCTAGCAGACAGAGGCCCTTTGTGCGGAAGGTGGCTCCTGGCTTCCAGCAGACATCAGGCTCCAAGGAAGCGGTCACCAGCCTGCGGAGAGGCCACATCCAGTGGCTGAACCTGCGCTACACTCAGGTGTCCCGCCAGGAGCTCAGGTGCCCACCCTGCCCCACCCTAGCTCACCCAGAGGGGGGCAGGACTGAGCCCCTCTGGGCAGAGGGCTGAACCCACAGACTCATGATTCAAAGAGGAAAGGTTGAAGAGTGTCAGGCAGACTGGAGTTTGTTTCTGAGGTTGGTCCTCTGAGGGCAGAGATTCCTTCCTCCTGGGAGTTGGGATGAAGATGGCATTAGGTTGTGAAGGGCAGTGCTCTAAGTCTTCCCACACTGGGCCTGGAGGTCCAGATCCGAGGGCTGACAGGTCTGTCCCCTGCCCCACAGGGACTATGCATCTTGGAACCTGAGTGTGAACCTCTACACGGTCAACGCGCCATGGCTCTTCTCCCTGCTGTGGTGCGCGGGCGTCCAGTCTGTCACCTCCGACAACTCCCACACCTTGTCCCAGGTGCCTTCCCCTCTCTGGATCATGGTGAGTTGGGAGATTGCTGAGGGGCAGTGGGCCCCCGGGGTGGGGGACAGAGAACCGCCTGTGGCACCTTGGGCCAGCTGGCAGGCAGGCTCCATGCTGGGGGCGCCTTGGTGAGGTCTCGGGTTGTGGACTATAGGCTTGAGGCGTTGAGGAAGATTTTCAGGGCCTCTGGGTTCTGCACTAAGGTGCAGGGAGGTGGTAGGAAACTGGATCCAACCCACAGGGAGAAAAACCTCACTTCAGGGCCCTAGAGAAATAAACAACTACTTGGTTTCTTTTATTTTGAGGTTATCTTATTTTATTTTATTTTAAAGGAAGGGAAAGCATTAGAAAAAGAAGGTAACAATAGGACAAGACCAGGGAACACTGAAGTCTGCTCAGAGAATACAGCCACTAAACCATTTTTCAGTTTGTTGACCTGCTGAGTTCCAGTCCCAGCTCTGCCACTGGGGGCGTGGGGAGCCCCTGACCTCCTCCTGTGTCCCACCACCCACCACCTTCCTGAGGATGTGAAGGCAGATGGCGGGTCTTGTTTTGGCTGAGACAGTGCCATGGTCAAGGACTCCGATCAGGTTATAGACGGTTATGTCCATCAACCTGCACTTTGTCCCAGGCTCAGCTCAGACTGGGTGAAATGACGCACTGACTGGCGGCAGTAGTGATGAGCACACTGGAATTTTCAGGCCACAGGGGTGGACCAACAGCAAGAAGTGCCCCTCACCCTGACACCATCTCTCCCACACAGCCACCCTGAGACTGATGGGGTTGGCGGCCTGGCTGCACCAGAGGCATTGCCCTCGCTGGGCCCCCAATCTGGTCCAGGAGGGATACATACTTAATCCTCTGCAGTGACACATACTTAACCCACAGGATGCCACACACCTTACACCACTGCTAGTCATGTCACACTGTTGCACTCAGCTATGTGTTTTTTTAAATTATTCTGCTCTTGCTTTGAGCCCTCTTAAGGACCTAAATCTCCCAGGCTTAACATGTACCACCTCTACCCTGAACACTGCACAGATCTCTTACTGTGCACGTACACACCAGGTCCAATGTCCAGAGCCCAGTTCTATGAAAGATAATCTCAAGCCCCCAAGCCGCCTCCAACCTAAGGTGACATGGGGTCCTCCTGCCCGTGGACCTCAGTCTGAAGCCCTGGTGTGGACCAGCCATGACCAGAAGCTGCCTGTGGGCCTTCTGTCCACAGCCCCCGGACAAGTACTGTCTCCTGTGGGTCACCGCCGACCTGATCTCCTTCACCTGCATCGTTGGCATCTTCGTGTTCCAGAAGTGAGTAGGCTCTGACCCCTTTCCCCAGCCTACCCGGGGCCAGGCCTTGCAGCCCTCACAACCCCCTTCCAGACAGGCCAACCTCCTCCAAGTCCTGGGCCAGGAGAAGGCCTGACCAGGCAGCCTGTCCAAGGCAGGGGGGCCCCTGGTCCATCCTCAGCTGGCGCTGGGTGGCTTCTGGAGTGAGCACCTGGCCAGGAGCCCAGAGCCAAGGTCTGCCATGGTTTGCCATGTGGACTCTGGCAAGTTCCAGTTCCTCTGCAGCTTGTCTTCTTGCCCGTCTCCAGAGCATGGGGCCCCAGCAGCACCCAGCACTCGGTTGTACCGTGCTGGAGACCTGCTCACCCCTCAGGTCGGCAGCTGGGATGGTGGTTACAGTGGGGAGGCGGGCTTGGGCCAGGGGAGGGTTTAGGGCCAGGCTGGGACCCCAACGGGCCAGGGTGTTGTTCTTGACTGACGTGCTCTCTCTGTCCCAAACCGCTCTGACCCGGCGCGTGTCCCTCCTCTCTCTCCCCAACCCTGTCCCCCTCTCTGCTGCACTCTGGCATCTTACAGCTATCACTTGATCAGGTAATTCTGGTGTGGTCTTCCTCCTCCTGTTCCTCTTTCTCCCTCCTTGCACCCCCTTTTCCAGTTCCTTCTGCAAACCAGAGCCTGTACCTGGGTCAGGCTCCCTAACTGGCCACCCTCCCCAACAACCCCCCTCACCTGTGCTCTCATCCTCTCCGTGGCTTTTCTCCCTTCTCTCTGCCCAGGCACCCGCCCCTGCTGGCTGGGCACTCACAGGGACCTGTACCCTGCCCCGGGCGTGCACCACCAAGTTTTGTCTCTCCCCATGCTGGCTTCTCCCTCCAAGTCTGCCTCTCCATCACTCTCTCTCATCCTTCCCTGGATCTCTCTCCCGTCTGTCTCTTTTTCACGTTCTGTCTCTGCTCATTGCCTGCCCCTCTGCCCCTCACACACAGCCCCAGCTTCACTGGGGAGGACCCCATGGTGGTGGAACTTTCGGTCCTAGACGTGCCTGGCCACAGAGACCCTGGCCTGACACGTTCCCCTTGGGTTTAATGTTAGTTTCCAAAATGAGTTCTAGGTCCCGGGGATCCAAATCCCCCTTGATCCTTCCTGAGTCGGGCTTTCGCTGACCAGCATCTAGGACAAGTTGTGCCCCCTTGCTGAGGACTGAGCCCCTGAAAGGACACATACCCAGCCCTTTCTTCATTCTCAGTCAGCAGGCATCTCCCTGTGCTGGCGGCAGCAGGAAAGGCCTTTGCATAGAGCTCCCGGGGTGCGGAGGAGGCCGGCCATGACGGCCCAGGTGCTGGGACGCACATGCTGGGCCTGCTCCACATACAGCCAGGGCAGTGGCATTGTCCTCCTGGGGGTTGGGAGAGGACGGATGGAGGAGGGGACCCTGGGGGAGGGACTCCTTCCATTCATTCATTCAACAAATGCTATGGGCACCTGCCACCCAGCAGGCGATGAGGGTTGTGCCAGGGACACAGTGATAAATGAGACCCAGTCACCACCCTCAAGGACGTGTGGAGTAGCCAGCCCAGCCAGAGCTCAGGCTGCCTTCCCCTCTGCCTCCCGCTTTTCCCTTGTCTGCCTGCTCTGTTCATCCACCCATCTGCCTGTATGTCTGTCCATTTCTGCTGCACTGACCCCACCTGGAAACAGTTAATTCCTCAGGGAGTCTGGGCTCCCTTCACCCACCCCAGCAGGGCTCTGCCCTGGGGGGTTGGATTCTTGTTTCCAAGCTGGCCCCTGCTTCTCTTGGTGGGAGTGGGGGTTGGGGGGGTCCATTTAATCCTTCTGTCTAGGTCACAGGAAAAGTCTTAAGTTCAGAGGCAGAGATCTGGGTCTAGTTCAGAGGAACTACAACCCAAAAACTGTCCTGGGCTGGGCGTGGGAACCTGAGCGTCCTCAGCTCGGCCTGGCCCGTGTACCATGCGCAGCTCCACCTCTTGGCCCACTCGATTAATTTTACCCCCTGCCTCAGCCATCAGAGGGATTAATGCTGCAGCCTGTCCCTCCCCATGAGGAGGAGGGACACCATACTCTGCCAGGCTGTTGGTACAAAGCAGCATCTGGTCCCACCCAAAGTCACTGTAACATCCTTGCTCTGAACCTGTGACTACACCCACCCCCCCGATCCTGCTCCACTTTCCTTCACATCCTCTCTGGGGTTTCCCCACTGGCTTCACTCAGCCTGCTACTGATGGAGCTCTAGGAGACATCAGCTCAGACTCCCCAGTTCTGGTGTGTACCCCAGAGTGGGTCATCAGAGTCATGCCTGCTAAGCACCCCCCCAAAATCTGTGCCATCCAAAAATGCCAGGTGCATAACTGGGGGCTGCTGAGACTGGGCTAACCAACCCCAAACCACTTTCTGGGTAAGGGAAGCTGACCTTGGGTCCTAGAGGCGGGTGGGGAACAGGAGATCCCTGGCTGAGTCGGGGGGCTCTGATTCAAGCCCAGCTCTGCCCTTCTCTGGGCCTCAGTTTTCCATCTATACAGTCAGAAGAGTCCCCTTGTCTCTCAGACCAAATCCAGAGAGGCTCTGAAGGGGGCAGGATCCCTGCTCCAAGGAAGGGTGGGGAGGGACCTGATGCCCACGGGGCCATCTCTACAGGTGGCGCCTGGGTGGCATACAGAGCTACAACCCTGAGCAGATCATGCTGAGTGCCGCAGTGCGCCGGACCAGCCGGGACGTCAGCATCATGAAGGAGAAGCTCATCTTCTCAGGTGTGCAGCCCTACAGACAGGCTGAGGCAGGCACTGAGCTGTTCTCTGCATTCTGCATGTTCCCATGCAACACATACAGGCAAGGACATGGCACAGACACACGTATAACCACCCAGTTTCATGCCCACACGTGAGCAGAGGCACACATACAGATACAGAAACATGCACCCCTCCACATCCAGTCATCTACTCCAGATCCTGTAGCCCAGTGGCAGTCCCATGGGTGGTGGGCAAGGGTAATATGCAGGGGTGGGGTGGGGGGCGGAGTCTGCTTTGACAGCCCATCGCCTTCTGTCTGGTTCCTATACTGACCCAGAAATACTGATTGCACCCCCCTTGTTGCTAGCACCTATTGACATCCCTAGTCTGACCGAGCAGGCAGCCATGTAAACACACACAGTGGACTGAGTAGCATAAGAGCGCTAAGAGATGGGTGGGCTGAGCCAGAGTTGGGTGCAGAAGAGGAGAGAGAGTAGTCAGAGCTCGCTGGGGCAGTGAGGAAGGCTTTGTGGCCCACTATGCAAGGGAAAGACATGGCTGAGATGAGAAGAATGGGTAGGAGGGGCTGGGTGGTGAGTCTGAGGTGCGGATGGGTGGGGTGCCTCCCGTGGTGTCCCCCAGCCCTCTGGCCACACTGGGGAGTTTCTGGGAGAAGGGGCCAGGCCAGGGCATCTGGGGTCTCCAGGTTCCTGCACAGTGCCAGGCCTGGAGAGGTTGGAAGGGGTGCGTAGAATGAATGGACGACAGGAGACCCTGACAGGCCGTGTTCTACCCATCCAGACCCCACTCTTCTGAAGTGCCCAAGCCAGTCACTGAGTGCCATGTGAGTGCAGGCTCTGAGGAGTGAGCCACAGCCTCACCTGCCCACTCCAGGGTGAGGAGTCCTCTCGAGACCCTCAGCCCCACCAGTGCACCCCAAGTCTCCTGACAGGGGGCTCACTACGTTCAGCAGACCTTTTCTGCGCTTCTGCTGTATATCCACTGTGCCAGGCTCTGGGGGCTCAGATGCCCAGACCCCATCCTTGTTCTTGGTGTTTCAGGTGATGGGGCCACAGAGAGTGACCGTACAGGAGGTGATGGGTCAGGGGGAAGCAGGGACTAGAGAGGCCAGGAGGAGGCCCCATCCCAGTCGAGGGGGCTCAGGAGGCTGTAATAACAGATGAGAAGAATTGAGCCAGATTTTAAGAAAAGCAAGTATTGATGGGGGTGGGGAGTCATTCCCAAGAGAGGGGCCAGTACGTGCAGAGGCCCTGAAGGGAGCAAACATGTGGGAGCCAAGATCGGGGATTTCTGTGGCTGGAAGGTGGAGCTCCAGGGAAAGCAGGCTGAGGTGCGCCAGAGTGCTCACAGAGACCAAGGAAGGCCTTGAATGACAAGCTCAATACTAAACCGCCACCAAGTGGCCTAACCAGGAGTTGTTACAGGCCACCCTTCCCACCCCATCTGCCAGCCATCCTCACTGACCTGTCTCTCCCTGTTCACATTCTGCCTCCCTCTGGCCCAGCAGAGATCAGTGATGGCATGGAGGTCTCCGATGAGCTCTCTGTATGTTCAGACAACAGTTACGACACATATGCTAACAGTACGGCCACCCCTGTGGAGCCCCGAGGGAGTGGCAGCCGAGCCAAGACCCTCATAGACCAGAGGAGGCGTTAGCTGAAGACCTGTCTGTCCCAGCCTGCACTTGACATGGAGATCAGGGAACCCAAGAGTGCTGGCAGAAGCGCATCTGGACTCGGAGTGCCCAGGGAGCTGGCTCCACAGCTGCCTCTTTGGCCCCAACTCCTGGCCAGCCATGGTCTCTCTTGGAGGGGGCTCCCCTCTCCCCTGAGGCCCAGCAGGACCAGGACTCCAGACTCACATGCCCCTGCAGTGCTGGGATACCTCCTGGGAAGTTGAAGGCCTCAGGCCTAGTCCTCCCTCTGAGGCCCTCCCTTGAGCATCCTGACTTGGAAACTTCAATGGGTCACTGGGCCATGCCATGCCCTCCAGGGCAATGGAAGATATGAATGCCCGTATGTGTCCATCCTCCTGTCTATGCTGTGAGGCAGCCGACTTCTCTGTGTTCTCCTGCCTCACGGACCTGGGCTGAGTCCTGCCCCAGCATCTCTGCTCTTCACATCAGACCCAAAGCACAAGGAGGTTTGGCCAGGAGGACAGACTGCTGCAGTGGTGGAGACCCTCCCCCGACCAGCCTCCCACCACTGCAGGCCTTGCCCCAGGAGAGGGCCTGAGCTGTGTCCGCTGGAGTACCTGGAGATGGCCAGAAGAGGCTCAGAGCTTCTCAATCCCAGGCCCTGGGACAGAGTGGCCCTGGAGGTCCAGGAGATCACAGGCTGACAGCACCTCAGGTTCCCACGTCAGAGGCCATATGGCAGGGGCCACCTCGGAAGAGTATTCTGGGCAGGGTCAAGGGTGGGTGTATTGCCAAGGAGGGCTACAGTGGAGCGAGCCTGAGGGGCCTTGGCCAAGATGATTAAAGCTGCCATCTTGACTTGTGTCCTTCCTGAATTTTCAGTGGGAGGGGAGGGACACAGCTTGCTGGAACTGGGGTTCTGTTTTGACCCCATGATGTGAGGAAGAATTCTCAGAAATGAATGGGAGTGTGGCAGGTTGGCTGGGCCCCAATGCTGCATCACCACGGCACCAGGGGCTCCCTAACAGCCCTGGGTTTAGGGACCAGTATCCCCACGATGTAGTGAAGGGGACGGCTTTGGAGAGGTGAACTGATCTCCAACGCCACACAGGTTAGAACAAGCGGAGCCAGAATCCCACCCCAGCTCTGACCCAGGACGCGTGTGTGTCCTCTGAAACCAGCAGGGAATGGCAACACAGACGGGGAGGAGGCGCCTGGGTCCAATGCAGGGCTGGACAGTGGGACTAGCAGGCACTCTCATGGCCACGTGAGCCTCCAGTCCATGGAAGGACAGGCTCTCGGCCCGGACATGCCTCCCCCCCATGGCAGAGGTTTGGCTTTGACTTCTCAGGGCTCCAGGCCTGACTGAGAGGGCCCACCCCAATTCCGGGCACAGTAAGGCACCCGGCCTGAAAGTCAAAACATAGCTCCTTGGACCACAGATGTCCCTTCCTGTCTTTCAGCCCCTGGATCTCCGCCCTCCGCCCTCCATGAGAAAGGGTCAGTAGTGTAGTCAGAGCAGGTCTTTAACTGCTGCCTTAGCCCTAAGAGTCTGCGTGGCCCTGAGGGTGTCCTAAGGGGGAAGAGGGGATCAACCCCAGCTCCAGCCTGCATTAAATAAACATGGTGCTTCCTGGGATCCAAGGGATGTATCTCTTCTCTAAACAGGGGTCTTCTGGGTAGAATTCTTGGGGTCTAAGCAGTTCTGGCACCTTGGAGGAAAAGAAACCCTTCTGTAATGCTGGAACCCAGCCTCAGATCCCCATTCCTCCCTAGGACAGCCCTTCTGGGAAGTGAAGGGGTTCACCCCCTTTTCCCCTACTGAACATCTGCCAGGTGCTTTCCTCCCCGGGGCAGAGGTCAGTTCCTGCCTCTCCGGGCTTGAAGTATAAGTGACACCTGAGCACACTGCCCTACCCAAAATGCAGTAACCTCCAGCCTCTGGCAGGCCCACCCAGACAGTGGATTTGACCTTTCATGCCAGCCCCCCCTCCCTGTCCAGTCAGTGCCCAGGCTCTGGCCATACTTGGGCAACTTCAGACATCCCAAGGTCTTGAGAGGGGTTTGAGGGGGCTGGGAGTTCTGAGTGCAGCAGCCAGTCAGCATCCCACTCTCAAGAGGGGCCTACACTGTACCTGCCCCCCTGTCCCCCCAGTAACATACATAGTCCCCTGCTTCCCCTCACCCCAAAAGATGGGACGGAGGATGGAGACCATCCCCAAGCTAGGCAAGCAGCTGGGCCTATTTCACGCTCAGCTGAGTCTACAGCCTGTGGTCAACCCTGACTCCTGTGCCTTGGCCTGAGGAATCACTGAGAACCCCACCTTCCTGATGCCCTTCCCATGCCCTCCCCCTTGTCTGCAGGACAGTCTGCCCACTCACAGGGAACAGAAGATGGGGCCCCTACCTTCCTGCAGCCCCCTGCAGACCCACTTCCTCCTGTGACCTCAGTAGCTGAGGCCTTGTCCAGACTGAGCCTACCCTCCATCTCCTCCAGGGCCCTCCTTGAACCTTCAGCTCCTCTTTACCAAGTATAAAAGGTGCCCGAACCTCTACATCCTTTAACACACATTTACTCCCTTTTTAGGAGGCCCATACACCATTCCCTGGCACAGGGTCCATGGAACAGACTCTCCCCACAGGCCTCAGGACATATACTTGGCCAGCATCACAGTGACCCCTCCCCAAGCCTCCTAACACTAACTGCCCTGCCTGGGACCTCACTAACTTCACACGGCATGCAGCTTTCACACACACCCTCTTGAGTCACAGCAACCCAGTCAGGTAGGCAGAGCAGGAATCGCTACTATCCCTCCAGCTGAGATAGAGCCAAGACCAAGGGGTGGTAGGTGATCTCCCTGGTGGTCGTGGCAGTGCCTGTATGGGCTCTTGTCAAGGCAACCTCCTCCTAAATGGCTTCCCTCTTTCATGAAGGCCAATCCCCTCGCTGCACAGACACTAGGTCCTGGGGCCCTTAGTAGGGGCAACAAATGATCTGGCACCAGCCTATGGGGTCTCCTCCCTCTGGTCCATGAGGCCAGACCTGCCCTAGGCTGCTGCCACCTCTCCACCCCAACCAGGCCTGCCTAGTACCACCATGCCCTGACTCACTCTTCCCCCCACCAAGGCAGGCGCATTATTGAGTAAAAACCACCTTGACTCAGACCATACCACAGACACAAGACCACACACACACATAGCCCATCATGCACAGAGAGACCCCATCATCCACAGAAATGAACAGTCACATAAAGAAAGACACAAAGAGAGGCACACAGGCATATAACCAGACACACGAAGTCCCATAATGACACGTCTGCTGTCAAGCAGGAACAGATGCGACACAGTCACACAGAGGCAGGAGGGAAACCTAGAACACCAAGCTGTGCACTCACATTCTTAGTCACGCCTACAGCACATGATCACACCCACCCCAATGCTACACAGTCACCATGTCCCCATGCACTTTCACACTCACATACAGGTACCCTGATCACCTAAACACTCAAAACCACTACACCGTCTCCCTGGGGCAGCCCTCCTAATCCATGCGTCATTCAGGGGCACGGCCAGTGACAGGTCATCCCCAATCCGGGTACACAGATCTGAGGTGCACACACAGTCAATTCCATGCTTACTCCCACCTCCCTTCCCTCCCAGGGCTGGTCCAAGAGTGGAACAAAAGCCCAGCTTCCCCTCCTCTTCCCTGTCGCCTCTCCCCTCCCCCCCCTCCCCTCCCCCCCCAGCGTCCAGCCCCTTTGTCCTCCTGCAGCTGAGCCCGAGTGGGAGTCTGGGCAGAGCAGCAGGGACGTAGGAGCCCAGGCAGCCAGGGGTGTGGGCGGTGGTACAGACAGGAGTGTCAGTGCAAGAGCAGCAGCTGCACAGCACCTGAGAGAGGCCATGGCCAGGTAAGTGCCAGGTATATCCGGGACTTAGGACACAGGGCAGTCCCACCTCTGTGGTGTCTATGAGTCTGAATGTGTTTGCATGAGTGCGTGTGGGTGTGAAAAAAAGGGTGCATGTCAGCTTCTGGGCTGGGTTCCTCAGTCTGTGTCAGGACCCTTGGCTTGAGGTGCCTAGATTCTTCGCTGGGATGCCAGATGAAGCCCTGCTGGAGAATCCCTAGTTTACAGGTCCAACTGGGGGTCCTCTGGCTGCAAATCCCCAGGGTGTAACGGGGTCTGATGTCCCAGTGTGTCCACAGTGCCAGCACAGCAGACAGCCACAGAATAAATGAAAAAGTACTGGTGTACTTCCCAGGAGGGAGCCCTCTCCCTTCCTTGAGGCAGCCCCTTGTGCCTTGGGACATCCCTGCAGGTAGAAGTCTCTCTGTCTTCCAAGACCTGCCCTCTTGGACCTCAGCTCAGAGTGGGGCAGCTTTCTCAGCCAGAAGAGAATAGAAAGGGGCAGGGTGCTCTGCTGACCTCTCCCACCTCCCTCGGCTCGTCTGGGGCTGCTCCACCAGTCATGCAGAGTGTGCAGCCAGGTGGGTTCAGGGCCCAGCACCAATACCTGGGCAAGGAAGTTAACTTCCTGGGACCCTGCCCACCAGAGAGCTCATTTCCTGTGGTGCTGAGACAGGGTACCCACCACCCAGAATGACCCATGCCAGAGCAGTGAAAGCCAGTCTGACATCAGGTCATATCAAACCTCCAGGGCAAAGCAGCCTCAGAGCAGGCAGAGCGGGTGGAATCAAGAGACTGGAGGAAGAGGCAAGGGGCAGAGGGTAGGGCTTGCTCCCCTAGAGAAAGTTGCCATGAAAGGAGGAAACCCCTCCAACTGTGTTTAGTGCCCTTTCTATGAGCTCCCCAATACTCTGTACTTTCCCCATGGGACGCTCATCGCTGTGAGCTCCAGAACGGCAGGGATTATGACAGTTTTGCTCACTGCCTGGCACAGAAAAAGCTCTCAATGAATACTAGCTTAATACATTTCATTCTACCTTGAGCAGGTATTAACTGAGCACCTACTCTGGGTCAGATCCTGTACTGTTGGGGGAGGGGCAGACATTAAATAGAATGATCACGGTTCAATAGGGAGCACCTACATATCAGCAGGAGAGAGAATGGGGTGAAGAGAGGGAGGTAGAGTTACACACACCCCCAGCACACACACTTAGTCAGTGTGCGGAAGCCTGAAACCCTTCACCAAAGACTACAGCTCCTGTCAGGAGGTCCTCCCTATCCAGATTTTTGTGCAGGTTCCCCTGCCCGCAAGCCCTGCCCCTTCAGACCCTGGAGAGGTAAAGGCTCCCTGCTGTTTGTAATCAGTGGCACTGCTCTATCCCTTGTGGGAGTCCCTAAACACTGTCTACGCTTCTGTAAATTCCTCCTTTATTAGACTCTTGTTCAGATTACCCCACGTGAGAGCTTGCCATCTGTCTCCTGCCTATACTAACAGGAAAAAGCCTAGCGAGTCTGAAGAACAGAAAGAGCAATATGGCTAAAGTGGATAAGCAAGGGAGACGATCTTACAACTAAGGCAGAGCCTAGCCCTTCAGGGAGCCGGGAACTAAAAGGTTAGGACTCAGGATGGGTGGATGGAGGAAGAGCCGCTGAACGCAGAAAGCGGACGGTTACGTTCGTGCATGCCTGCATGGGTAAACTACTGAACGAAGCAATGCATCACAAGGAGTCTCTGGCCCTCTAGCCGGCCCCAGGCAGGTGCATTTCCCGTCGCCGTTCGTTTTCTACCTGGCAGGATGCTGGAGGGCCCAGGGGCGGAGGAGTCGGAGCCGGGCTCTGAAGAGCCGTGTGTGGAGTCCTGCCACGCGCAGCGCGTCCTGCAGACTCTCAACGCTTACCGGCGGAGCGGCACCCTTACCGACGTGGTGCTGCGCGCTGGCGGCCGTGACTTCCCCTGTCACCGCGCGGCGCTCAGCGCGGGCAGCGCCTACTTCCGCAGCCTGTTCGCGGCCAGGCAGGTGGAGCACGTCCTGACCTTGGTGCCAATGGTGCCGGTGGTGCCAGTGACGCCCGAGGCGCCGGGCGCTGGGCCCGCCGGGGCGGTGTCGGCGCTGGCCGTGGTGCTCGACTACGTGTACGGCGCGGACGTGCGGCTGCGCGCGGAGGAGGAGGCGGCCACCGTGCTGGCGCTGGCCGAGCGGCTGGGCGTAGCGGGCCTGCGCGACGCCTGCGCGAGCTTCCTCGAGGGCCGCCTGCGCGCCGCCAACAGCCTGGCGCTGCGCCGCGTGGCCGCCGCCTTCTCTCTCACCTCGCTGGCCGAGCGCTGCGGCCGCGTGCTGCGCCAGGCCTTCGCTGAGGTGGCGCGCCATGCCGACTTCCTGGAGCTGGCGCCCGACGAGGTGGCGGCGCTGCTGGCGGACCCGGCGCTGGGCGTGGCGCGCGAGGAGGCCGTGTTCGAGGCGGCCATGCGCTGGGTGCGCCACGACGCGCCGGCCCGCCGCGGGCAGCTGCGGCGCCTGCTGGAGCACGTGCGCCTGCCCTTGCTGGCGCCCGCCTACTTCCTGGAGAAGGTGGAGACTGACGAGCTGCTGCAGACCTGCGGCGAGTGCCGCCCGCTGCTGCTCGAGGCTCGCGCCTGCTTCATCCTGGGCCGCGAGGCCGGAGCTCTGCGGGCCCGGCCTCGGAGGTACTGCCCCCGCCTCCTTGCTTCGAGTCCCTCATAATTTCCCCGTTCTTCAAACACTCGCTCATTCCTCTGCCATCTTTTAATTCACTCAACCGTGCCTGTTCAATTAAATCCAGTCATTCATTCAACAAATGTTTCATGGGCTTGGTGCTGGGACTCCTGCCCTTGAAGAGTTCACAGTTCAGTGGAAGAGATGCACACACCTTGCACACATTCTTTCTCTTGCCCATCCATCCGTAAATCCGAGTGCTTTCTCTGTGCAGGTCTTCTGTTGGGTGCCCTGGGCTCAGGAGTGATTTGGAAACACCCTTTCCCTCCAGGAGCTCAGTCGACTAAGGATGCAAATAGGCAGGGCCTGGCAAAAATGAAAAGGCTTACTCCCACCCCTGGAACGCCAAACCAGGAGACGTTGGGAGGAATAGTCCAAGAAATGAGTCACTCTGTCAATGCTCAATATTTGTCAAAGGAATTAGGTAGAAAACTAGTGGCTAAGTTTTGGAAAATCTGCCGGGGGTCAGAAGCCTGAATGGTCAGTGAGTGGGGAGAATGCGTTCCCGAAAGGGCGGCAGTTCAATCGAAGCAGTGATTCGGGGCTAGGTTTAGGAAATGGTTACAAGAGGAGTGAGGCAGCAGAATCAGCTAGCAGTTGGGGATGGAGGACAGAAAAGGATGAAGAGAATGGTGGGAGCCAACCTGGGCTTGAATTCCAGCTCTGTCACTTATTGGCTGCAAGTCTTCAGGCAAGCCACAGTCTGTGAGCCTCGGTTGCCTCCTGTCTAAAAGAAGTACTAATCTCTGCCTAATAGAACTGCTCTGATTAAAGGATGTGATGTTTCTAGGTGAGGGCTCTGTAAAGATTCTTTCCTTGTAACTTAGAGGACAGTAGAATGGGGTAAGGATTAGTTACCCTATTCCTATCAATAGCCAGAGCGGGCCAGGGATGGAGGAGAACGGAAGGGTAGCAGAACCGTACAGTATGGGCAGAGAGAGACTGAGAGGGCTGAAACTGGGTGCGGGTCAACGGGCTTTGGGCTTATTCCTACACCAGATTCATGGACCTAGCTGAAGTGATCGTGGTCATTGGTGGCAGCAATCGCAAAGGGCTCCTGAAGCTGCCCTTCGCCGACGCCTACCATCCAGGGAGCCGGCGCTGGACCGCACTGCCCACCCTGCCGGGCTACATGCGCTCAGAGTTCGCCACCTGTACTCTCCGCAATGACGTCTACATCTCTGGTGAGGGCGAGACCACAGCGGGGGGCCCCCACAGGACTGGCCCATCACCTCCCGCACTGCCCCTTTGTTTTCCCTCCGTCTGGGAAATGGGGGAGGGATTTCTCCTGATAACCTAGTTATTGGCCGAAGTGGTGTGTAGTCAGCAGAAGCCAATTACCTGTATGACTCCACTGTGTATTCAGCAAAATCTGCTTCAATTCATGAGTATTAATCATTTTTCTATTTAGCCTACTATAAGCAGCTAAGTTGTCATTTAATCTTACCTTTTTGCAGGGAGGTTAAGAATTTCCCTATTGTCTCAAAAATGGCAAAGCTAGGAGGAACACAGATTGGTCTGATACCAATGGAGTGTGCCCTCCCTGAGATTCGGGCCCTAGAGACTCAGAAAAAAAGAGTCCCTGCTCCCCTGGAGTGCCCTGGGGAGAGGAAGAGAGAGAGACATCACTTTACGGCCAGGCTTTTTAGCTAGACCTTGACAGAGGGAATAGCACAGGCAAAGGCATGAAGGCAGGAATGTGTGGAAAGGAACCCTGAGTAAGACTTGGGCCTCCAAAGTGCAGGTTGAGTGTATCTGGGAGAGGAGGGGAAGCTATTGTAGATGAGGCAGAAAGGGAGCTTGGAGTCAGACTAGGGAGGGTTTTGATTCCAGGCCTACCTTTACTGTACTTAATGTTGTAGGGAGTTACGTGTGCCTGGGAAGGATAAAGGACAGAAGAATGAGCCAGGAAGGCCTCTGGGACCATTCCGGGCACACTTCATTACTGGACAACTTATCCAAGGCCACTGATGGTCTCTGAGCAACATGTATGGCCTCTGCTGGGTACCACTGGGAATATACAGAGGAAAGCACTACATGAGAGATGTGACTTGGGCCATAGGCTCAGGCTGAGGATTGCAGTCAGCGTTGTCCCTAAGAAGCCTGCTCCTGAGGAGTGGGGACCCCAGGAAGAACAAGGAGGGACAGTCTACAGCCTCCGTCCCCAGTGCCTAGATGCACACCAATGCTGAACACAGGCGACTGGAAGTTCTGGTCTGGCTACTGCTTCAGCAGTGAAAGGTCACATGGTCTTCAGCAAGTCATTCCTGGTCTCTAAGCTTTATCTGAGTTTCCTATCCGTACACTGGGTACAATAATCCTAATACCTCATGGAGGGATGAGAACAGACATGAAACCCTGAAGGTGAAGGCAGAACTGAGGCAGGATTACTGGGTCACCCTCTATCTACCCTTCCTCATCCCATTGCAGATGGGCTCTGCTTTCCCTCTGCCTCAGCACCTTCCTGATGTTTGTCTCAGGCACCCTCTGCACTCTTAGGTTCAGTAGAATTCTAAGTGCACCCCCCTGTTTCCCTGAGCACAGAGCTTGGTACACCATGACAGGGCACCCAGTAAAGATCAGCTCCTTTTCCCTGAATCTCTGCCCTCTCCCTGGACTCTCTTGCCCATTGTCCTCAGACTTCCCACCACTCTCAAAGCACACTGTCTGGGTCACAGGCCCAGAGCCTAACACTAGTCCAGGGGGAAGTCCTTTGTGCTGTCTACCCTTAACCCTTCCTTTGGCTCTAGGGTCCCTTGTTTCTAGCTCATTAGGGATGTCTTGGTGCCAATGGTGCCGGTGGTGCCAGTGACGCCCGAGGCGCCGGGCGCTGGGCCCGCCGGGGCGGCGTCGGCGCTGGCCGTGGTGCTCGACTACGTGTACGGCGCGGACGTGCGGCTGCGCGCGGAGGAGGAGGCGGCCACCGTGCTGGCGCTGGCCGAGCGGCTGGGCGTAGCGGGCCTGCGCGACGCCTGCGCGAGCTTCCTCGAGGGCCGCCTGCGCGCCGCCAACAGCCTGGCGCTGCGCCGCGTGGCCGCCGCCTTCTCTCTCACCTCGCTGGCCGAGCGCTGCGGCCGCGTGCTGCGCCAGGCCTTCGCTGAGGTGGCGCGCCATGCCGACTTCCTGGAGCTGGCGCCCGACGAGGTGGCGGCGCTGCTGGCGGACCCGGCGCTGGGCGTGGCGCGCGAGGAGGCCGTGTTCGAGGCGGCCATGCGCTGGGTGCGCCACGACGCGCCGGCCCGCCGCGGGCAGCTGCGGCGCCTGCTGGAGCACGTGCGCCTGCCCTTGCTGGCGCCCGCCTACTTCCTGGAGAAGGTGGAGACTGACGAGCTGCTGCAGACCTGCGGCGAGTGCCGCCCGCTGCTGCTCGAGGCTCGCGCCTGCTTCATCCTGGGCCGCGAGGCCGGAGCTCTGCGGGCCCGGCCTCGGAGGTACTGCCCCCGCCTCCTTGCTTCGAGTCCCTCATAATTTCCCCGTTCTTCAAACACTCGCTCATTCCTCTGCCATCTTTTAATTCACTCAACCGTGCCTGTTCAATTAAATCCAGTCATTCATTCAACAAATGTTTCATGGGCTTGGTGCTGGGACTCCTGCCCTTGAAGAGTTCACAGTTCAGTGGAAGAGATGCACACACCTTGCACACATTCTTTCTCTTGCCCATCCATCCGTAAATCCGAGTGCTTTCTCTGTGCAGGTCTTCTGTTGGGTGCCCTGGGCTCAGGAGTGATTTGGAAACACCCTTTCCCTCCAGGAGCTCAGTCGACTAAGGATGCAAATAGGCAGGGCCTGGCAAAAATGAAAAGGCTTACTCCCACCCCTGGAACGCCAAACCAGGAGACGTTGGGAGGAATAGTCCAAGAAATGAGTCACTCTGTCAATGCTCAATATTTGTCAAAGGAATTAGGTAGAAAACTAGTGGCTAAGTTTTGGAAAATCTGCCGGGGGTCAGAAGCCTGAATGGTCAGTGAGTGGGGAGAATGCGTTCCCGAAAGGGCGGCAGTTCAATCGAAGCAGTGATTCGGGGCTAGGTTTAGGAAATGGTTACAAGAGGAGTGAGGCAGCAGAATCAGCTAGCAGTTGGGGATGGAGGACAGAAAAGGATGAAGAGAATGGTGGGAGCCAACCTGGGCTTGAATTCCAGCTCTGTCACTTATTGGCTGCAAGTCTTCAGGCAAGCCACAGTCTGTGAGCCTCGGTTGCCTCCTGTCTAAAAGAAGTACTAATCTCTGCCTAATAGAACTGCTCTGATTAAAGGATGTGATGTTTCTAGGTGAGGGCTCTGTAAAGATTCTTTCCTTGTAACTTAGAGGACAGTAGAATGGGGTAAGGATTAGTTACCCTATTCCTATCAATAGCCAGAGCGGGCCAGGGATGGAGGAGAACGGAAGGGTAGCAGAACCGTACAGTATGGGCAGAGAGAGACTGAGAGGGCTGAAACTGGGTGCGGGTCAACGGGCTTTGGGCTTATTCCTACACCAGATTCATGGACCTAGCTGAAGTGATCGTGGTCATTGGTGGCAGCAATCGCAAAGGGCTCCTGAAGCTGCCCTTCGCCGACGCCTACCATCCAGGGAGCCGGCGCTGGACCGCACTGCCCACCCTGCCGGGCTACATGCGCTCAGAGTTCGCCACCTGTACTCTCCGCAATGACGTCTACATCTCTGGTGAGGGCGAGACCACAGCGGGGGGCCCCCACAGGACTGGCCCATCACCTCCCGCACTGCCCCTTTGTTTTCCCTCCGTCTGGGAAATGGGGGAGGGATTTCTCCTGATAACCTAGTTATTGGCCGAAGTGGTGTGTAGTCAGCAGAAGCCAATTACCTGTATGACTCCACTGTGTATTCAGCAAAATCTGCTTCAATTCATGAGTATTAATCATTTTTCTATTTAGCCTACTATAAGCAGCTAAGTTGTCATTTAATCTTACCTTTTTGCAGGGAGGTTAAGAATTTCCCTATTGTCTCAAAAATGGCAAAGCTAGGAGGAACACAGATTGGTCTGATACCAATGGAGTGTGCCCTCCCTGAGATTCGGGCCCTAGAGACTCAGAAAAAAAGAGTCCCTGCTCCCCTGGAGTGCCCTGGGGAGAGGAAGAGAGAGAGACATCACTTTACGGCCAGGCTTTTTAGCTAGACCTTGACAGAGGGAATAGCACAGGCAAAGGCATGAAGGCAGGAATGTGTGGAAAGGAACCCTGAGTAAGACTTGGGCCTCCAAAGTGCAGGTTGAGTGTATCTGGGAGAGGAGGGGAAGCTATTGTAGATGAGGCAGAAAGGGAGCTTGGAGTCAGACTAGGGAGGGTTTTGATTCCAGGCCTACCTTTACTGTACTTAATGTTGTAGGGAGTTACGTGTGCCTGGGAAGGATAAAGGACAGAAGAATGAGCCAGGAAGGCCTCTGGGACCATTCCGGGCACACTTCATTACTGGACAACTTATCCAAGGCCACTGATGGTCTCTGAGCAACATGTATGGCCTCTGCTGGGTACCACTGGGAATATACAGAGGAAAGCACTACATGAGAGATGTGACTTGGGCCATAGGCTCAGGCTGAGGATTGCAGTCAGCGTTGTCCCTAAGAAGCCTGCTCCTGAGGAGTGGGGACCCCAGGAAGAACAAGGAGGGACAGTCTACAGCCTCCGTCCCCAGTGCCTAGATGCACACCAATGCTGAACACAGGCGACTGGAAGTTCTGGTCTGGCTACTGCTTCAGCAGTGAAAGGTCACATGGTCTTCAGCAAGTCATTCCTGGTCTCTAAGCTTTATCTGAGTTTCCTATCCGTACACTGGGTACAATAATCCTAATACCTCATGGAGGGATGAGAACAGACATGAAACCCTGAAGGTGAAGGCAGAACTGAGGCAGGATTACTGGGTCACCCTCTATCTACCCTTCCTCATCCCATTGCAGATGGGCTCTGCTTTCCCTCTGCCTCAGCACCTTCCTGATGTTTGTCTCAGGCACCCTCTGCACTCTTAGGTTCAGTAGAATTCTAAGTGCACCCCCCTGTTTCCCTGAGCACAGAGCTTGGTACACCATGACAGGGCACCCAGTAAAGATCAGCTCCTTTTCCCTGAATCTCTGCCCTCTCCCTGGACTCCCTTGCCCATTGTCCTCAGACTTCCCACCACTCTCAAAGCACACTGTCTGGGTCACAGGCCCAGAGCCTAACACTAGTCCAGGGGGAAGTCCTTTGTGCTGTCTACCCTTAACCCTTCCTTTGGCTCTAGGGTCCCTTGTTTCTAGCTCATTAGGGATGCTGTGGATAGCCAGGGAGCCTGAGGGGTAACAGCTGCTTCTCTCTCCCTAGGAGGCCACATCAACAGCCGTGATGTGTGGATGTTTAGCTCTCATCTGCACACCTGGGTCAAGGTGGCCTCGCTGCAGGAGGGCAGGTGGAGGCACAAGATGGTGGTTGTGCAGGGGCAGGTAGGGACATGCAACAGCTTCTGCCCTGAGACCCAAGGTACAGATCTATGGACTTCCTGGGGAAAGGCCCTCTAAGACCTTCTCTTTGTAAGAACGGATCTGAGGCACCCAAAAGTAAAGGGATTTCCCCAAAGTTACAAAATACTGCTAGTGCTAAAAATAATAGTGGTTACTGTAATAGTACAGTCTAGTGGTTAGAGGTCAAAAGTGGTCTCTGGGGGCCATACACACTAGGTTTGAATCTTGACTCTGCCACTAAAGGCCAAAAAACAGGAACAGCCTGCCAATTATATTTGTAAACTACATCCCAAATTCAATAATGCAAATAAAAGTGCTTCTTAGCATCATTTAAATGAGATGGCAAACTCTTAATAAACTATTATTATTATTATTATTATTATTAATAATAAGCATCAGCTTGGTGCCAGGAATTTTACAGATCGAATCTGCATATAGTACCCATCCTAGAAACCAGTATCATTATCCCTAGCTAAGAGAGAAAACCTGCTAAGGGATGTTCAGTAACTGGGTGAAGGGTGCCCAGGTACTGGGGTGCTGGGATGCACCTGGGATGGGTCTCTGGCCCTTACGTAGGGGGCGGTGGAACCCAGACCATAGATGGCCCTGACTCCCCGCACCCTCCACTCCTTTTCTTCACCTGCAGCTGTTCGCGGTGGGTGGCTTTGATGGCCTGCGGCGCCTGCGCAGCGTGGAGCGCTATGACCCCTTCTCCAACACCTGGGCGGCTGCGGCGCCTCTCCCCGAGGCCGTGAGCTCGGCCGCAGTGGTGCCCTGCAGGGGCCAGATCTACGTGATCGGGGGCGCCAGGCAGGGCGGCGTCAGCACCAACAAGGTGGGCACCGGGCCGGCGTTGGAGGCCTGCTGTGTGCTCGGCGCAGAGCTGGCGCTTTCGTGTGCCCGTCTATTTTCTTCCTTAATCTGAAAACCCCTCCCCTAATGGCCTCATAGGCCTGTGGTCCTGGAATCTGGAGCTTCCCAAACTACCCTTCCTATTCTGACTCCATTCCTCCCCATGCCTTTCTGGGGCTGCCTGGGGGTACTGGCCTTTAGCACCCTCTGGTGTGACACTGGTTGGTTATAGGCCAGCCCAAGGGTATCCAAGGAAACACCAGAGGAGACAGGAAGTAAAGGAGCAGGCACAGGTACAAGTTCTCAAACTGCAAGGTGTCATGAACACCGTGAACCTGAGGAGTCGTGGAAAGCTGCAGGAATGGGCGCTGCAAGGCACCCCCAATGGAATCCTGTCATGACCTGTGAGCACCAGGAAGAGGGAAGAGGATTGACAGTGTACACACCTAGGGGTGCATCTCCATGGGGGACCTGCTCTGAGGACCCTCTATAGTGCTTATTCAGACAGTACCTCCATGTCCTGGGACGCAAACCCTTCCTTGGACCTTGAAACACGAGGGTTTGACAAAGGGAGTCCAGAGGTAGAGGCAGAATGTGGAACCAGACTGAGCACTTGAGGGCAGGGATGGTGGTTCCCCTGGACCTTCCCAGAAAGTAGCTCAGGCCTGGCAGACATAGACAAATGTGTTGTATGAGTCCGTTGTCAGAGAAAAGTGCAGGCGCTTGGCACAAAGGTTGCACCACTGTCCCTCCTCTTGCCCCCCAGGTGCAGTGCTTTGACCCAAAGGAGGACCAGTGGAGCCTGCGGCTGCCAGCACCCTTCTCACAGCGGTGTCTCGAGGCCGTTTCCCTCGAGGACACCATTTATGTGGTAGGGGGCCTCATGAGCAAAATCTTCACCTACGACCCTGACAGAGATGTCTGGGGGGAGGCAGCTGTCCTCCCCAGCCCTGTGGTAAGTGGAGGCTCTTGGCCATCGCCCGGGCACTGGTTCCATTCAGGAGGGTGAAGGTTTTGTCTGGCCTGGCCAACTAGGGACACAGAAAGCCCCAGGCTGTACTCTGTAGCTGTGTTTGTTCCCCCAGGAAAGCTGTGGCGTGACTGTGTGTGATGGGAAGGTCCACATCCTTGGAGGGCAGGATGATCTTGGGGAAAGCACCGACAGGGTCTTCACCTTTGACCCCAGCAGTGGGCAGGTGGAGGCCCAGCCATCCCTGAAGCGCTGCACCAGCTCCCATGGCTGTGTCACCATTGTCCAGAGCCTGGGCAGGTGACACAGACTTGGATAGCCTGAGTCAGGAGTCAGAGTGGGAGGCAGAACTCAGGCCCACCACTGCTCCCCTCATGGCACCTCCATGTAAATAGCCCCTTCGCTGCCCCACTTTCTTGTAGAAATAAAACCTCCTTCAAAGGTTGGGTCTGTGTTCCAGCGTCAGCCTGCTTTGCCTGCAGAAGTATGCCCGGTACCTGCTCCCTGCTTTGGCTCTTCACAAAGCTCCTTCATATGCTACCTCATTTACCTTAATAATAGCAATGTGGACCTTTAAAAAAATTTTTATGTATAAATTATAAATATAAATCTATATATACAAGTATATATACAAAATGTATACTAAAATATTTTGTACAGTTTGAGAATATGTGTTGCCAACAACCTTAAGAAATAGATTGTTACAAATGCCTTTATAGGCCCCTCTATTTCCAAGCCCATACCTTTCCACACTTTTCCCAGAGGCAATAACTATCCTTATATTTAAGATTATTAGCACTTAAAAAAACTTCTAGTGAACTTCTTCTAAAACTTCTAGTGAACTAGTTAATATCTGTATTTTACAGAGAAGGAACTGTCTTAAAAAGATGAAGGAACTGCCCAAGGCCACATTTTCAGTAACTGGCAGAATCTATGACTCCTAAGACTTCATGAAGTTTCAGAATGTATGAGGCACTTCTGGTCAAGATGGTTCTTTCTAAACAACCACCCTCTCCAATTCAAACACTTAGCAAAACTAGATAAAAATTAACAGCCAGACAACTAAAAAGACAGAGGCATAGGCTTGTAAGTAAGCGTGGATAAAATTAAAGTTCCTGTGACCAGGATTCTAACCTGGCCCTCGTTGGCTAGCTCACTACATGTGTGGGGCAATACATTGCTATTGACTTTATATAAAGAGCTCCACCCAATGCTCTGGGTAACACGGTGGCACAGCTGCAAGGCTGCAGGAGAGCAGAGCAGAAGCTGAAGTGGTGGCAGTGCCGAGGACAGTCAGAGGATGGCTGTGCGGGCCAAGAGACCCAGAAGACAAGAGACCAGCTTACTGCATGCAGAGACTCTGAGTGAATGGGGTTCTAGTGACTGACCGTGGAAATAAAGCTGGGTATAACCCTTTCACCCCAAGAATGTTCTACTATCATTACTTTGGTCACACTGAATCCATAGTGTACTTGCCCGGGGCTGAAACCCATTGGCAAGACACTAAGCAAACATGTTCAAGAATCAGATATAGAATTGTTCTAAGACCATGAGGAAGGCAGAAACTGTAGTTCAGACTCTGGGATAAAGGCCTTAGAAACAGGATTCCAAACCAGGTTCACAGTTAGAAGCCAGAGCCAAAGTATAGTTCCCCAACTCATCAAAGACACTGAAACAAAACAGAACAAACATAGCTGTGGAAACCCAAGCAACCTTGGGGTCAAACTGTGGGCCCAGGGTGATGGGTGCTAGAGGTCTGGGCCCAGCCAGCCATGCTCTGCACCTGGATCCTGAGATCCCCAGTGTCAACAGGGGGCACAAGTCCCTGAAGCCATTATAAGCACTTGGCTTGGTCTGGAGCTCTGGGGCAACATAAAACTGATAGGGATGAGTTCAGGGAGACAGGGAACAAAATATGCCACAGGGAGATTCTGTGAGGTAGAGGCCCAGGGGTTCTGTGCCTGTTTCTGAAGCCCACTTTATATAAAGAAGAGCCAGCCAGGCCCCATCTGGGCTTTGCCATCACACTCAGATTGCCTTTTGAACAGCTATCATCTATCTGCTCCTCCCATCTCCTCCAACACAGGGTCAGCCCCATACCCATCTCATCTTCCAAAGCCCCAGGGCCCTGTCGGCAGGGTGTCTCCAGCTGGGGCTGACCTGTTATAGCCCAACACAAAGGATTAGGCCCCAGCTGAGCTCCTGCTCTGATTATCCCAAATTAGGAAGCCTGTGACCATCTGGACCCAGCTGATAATGGCAAAGGGGAGGGGAGTGGGTGAAGGCCCAGTCCCTCAGAGCCTGCCTACCCATGCCATGGATAACAAAGGACAAAGCAAAGGCTGTGCCATACTGCTTGCCTACCCAGGCAAAATCCCCAGTGTTAAAGGTATTTCTCCCCAAAGACATGGGCACCTCACTTGGGCTGAGCACTTCATGTGTGCCAACATAGCCCCCAGTACTCTCCCGTGCTATTGCTGATGCCCTTTCCATGCTGTCTCCATTAGCAGCCCAATACCCCCAGCCCAAAGCTGACTGTGCTCTCCTCCGGCCCTTTATCTGCCCCTCTTCTGTCACCTGGCCATGTGGCCAGGCCTCTTTGTGTGCTGTCTCTCGTCTCCTTGACACACCCATAGAATGCCTCTTGAAGCAGGAAAGGTGTCAGCTTCATCCGTATTCCCCTGTGCCTGAAACAAGGCATTGCACTGAACACACTAAATCAAAACATCCAGGATTTCTACCTTGTAATACCACCCCTCCCACCTTCAGAATGAGGAAAGAGACATGTTGTGAAGTGACTTGCTTACTAAGTCTGGGCTTACTGGTGAGTGGTGGCAGAGCTAGGATTCCAAACTGGGTCCAGCTATCTCCAAAGCCTGCTCTCTCCATGTGGCCTCATCCAGGCTCTGCTAATCTGAGAAAATAGGGTTGTGTTGCACAGCTGTTGTTTATGAATAGGAGATAAAGTAGTCCCTCTTACTCCCTGGGGTTATGCTCCAAGACCCCCACTTGGGTCTACCTGAAACCACAAATAGTACCAAACTTTGTTTTTTTCTATACATACATATCTATGATAAAGTTTAATTTATAAACTAGGCATAGGAAGACATTATCAACTAGTGATAAATAAGTTACATGAATGTGATCTCCCCCTCAGAATATCCTATTGCACTCACCCTTCTTGTGATGTGAAAAGATAAAAAACCTTAGATGATCTGAGGTGAATGATGCAGGAATAAGACACTGCTAGGCTACTATGGATCTTCTGACAATGTGTCAGAAGGAAGATCACCTGCTTTCAGACTGCCGCTGACCATGGTAACTGAAGCCATAGATGAGTGTGGACTACTGTACATTTCCACTACAGGAATTCCCAGCCTGATGGGATACCATTCCTGCCCTTAGGTGTTTGAGGAGTGACATGGCTCATAACCCTGGTGATCAAGGCTCATAGCAACACAAGCAAAAGGTGACATCCCATGTGTCCTAATTCCCTAGGTCTGTTTGTTAGACTGAGGCTATATATAGAAGGCCTGCCTGGCTCCTACTCCATGGCTCTTGGCCCCCCTGGATTGCCTACTGCATGAGAAGGACTGTTACCTTCCAGTAGGAAGCCAGACACAATTCCGAAGCATGACCCCTTGCACACTTAATGCTTGGTATACCACAAGAAGCCACTGGACCCAAATTTAGTTTTTGGGTTTCTTTTTTGAGCAGTTGTTTGTTAAGGATTGGTATTTTATGACTGTCACTCTTCCTTAGTGGGATTCCAAAGGACTATGAAAAATTTTTTTAAAACACAGAATAAAATTGTCTTGCAGAACCACTGGAATGACTTATTATAAAATATGCCTATTTTTCCTGTATCTTGAAAAACTGCTATTTCATATTGCTCAAATAATCCCAACTATGACAAAGACTTAAGATGACTAAGAAAATGGAAGAATGATGGCACTGCCTAGAAGATACAGTAATGAAATAAACCATCAGTATGTTATCCTTTCAAGAAGTTAAGTCTAGAGACATAGGTTGAGAATTCATTTTTCATTTCCCACCCATGACAGAAGAGAATTGAGAGGACATTTTACTCTTATTTGACAAACTGAAAATGCCTGCAAACACAGCAGCATTCATCTCTAAGGACAATAGGGAAATTGGTCACATAAGCAAAATCTTTCCTAGATCAGTTTTCTCAAACTCAAGAATTGGTGTGTGAACATTAATTTTCTAAAAACAGAAATAAGGTATTTTAAGTCATTATTCAGTTAAGTCATTCAATAGAAAGGATTTTATCACGTACTCTTCCTCAAAAACCTGGACCATCAAGTTTGGCTAAAAGGTGGTGACAGTGTTTATCTCCTATGATGCCTATGTTCCAAAATTTACTTGGTAGTTTGTTACAGTTCTTAAGTAGAGACATGCTGAAAGCAACTATGTACAAAGGTGGAGGAAAATAGCTGTAGAAATTTAAAAAATTCACTGGCTTAGTCATTTGAATTCACCTTTATAAATCCACAACCAAAAATGTTTAAAATTATAAAGCATATAGCTCTCCTCTCTTTAACAAAGTAACAAGCCATCTGAATTTTTTTAGCCTACTACATGTTGATAATACAAGTGCAGAACAAAACAAAACCAAGAAAACCCCAGAAGTACTATGACAGAGCCTATTAGAGATATACCTGAAATCTGGACTCAGTAGTTGCAAGATGAATGTGTGCCAGCTTCACATAGGGCAGCTGATGAGCATTTCCTTGCTTTCAAGGGACAGTGCTCATTTTGGGTGTACTTACCTTCAAGACAAGGAAAATACGACATTGCTGTTTTAATTAACATGTATGTATACACATATTTTCATACATACTTTATTGAAATACAATTCATTACAGAATTCACCCATTTGAAGAGTACAAGTTAATGGTTTTTAGCACAGAGAGCTGTGCTGTTATATACTTGCTAAAACTTTAGTATTTTAAATGTCTTAAAATTTATAATTGTTTTTTACTATCCCTTTATTCTTACTTCTTTAACTTATTTATAAAGTGACTTAAAATATGAAGGGTGACTCATAGTCCCAGATGTTGAACAGCAAGGCCTACTTTCCCTGGTATACCGAGGGCAAAACGAGTGCGCTCAAGATGCATCTCCTCTGGCCCCCACTCCCAACGGCAAAGTGGCCCAACTGCTCCTCTATGCTCACATTCTCTTCCCTCTAAAAAGCAGACATACTCTTAGTAGTTAAAGGGTAGGGAAGCCCTGCCCTCTCTCTAGGAAATGTAGGATTCCAGGGGTCTATCTCCTGCCTTACCACACAAGCACTGCCAGGCACAGGCCAGTCGTGGGGGCAGTGGATGGCCTGCACAGAGCATGGATGAACCCACCACAGCCTCCTGCTCAGTACACAAAGGCCCAGCTGCACGCGGCCCACTGAACTGTCAGCATTAACACTAGACTGAATAGCAGAGGTATGGTTTCATTTGAATTTCAGAACCACTGAGGTTCCACCTTAATTTGAAAACTAAGGGCTTGAGATCAGGTAAGTTGTTCCCAATCTAGAGTTTCATGCTATTTGTTCTCAAATCCTAAGTGGGGCTCTTGAAATACTCTCATCTTTTCTAAAACCTAAGAAGAATCACCTTCCCCTAAGAGGTATTGCATGGGTTAATTGAAACTGCTGTAAAATGAAGTTAGTAATGTTATCTACCCATTACAGGGATGTTGGCAAGATTAAATGGACGTTCACAGCAGGCTCAGGGCATATAACTATCTCACCATGGTCATGCTGCTTATAAAATTATAAATGTAGCTTGAATAACAAATAGGGGAAAATTTTCAGACAAAATCTCCTATCTCTGAGGAAAATAGTAAGAAAAACTCTTTTGAGATTGAAAATATTCTCAGTGATACTTAAATGCTTTTATGCTCTTATGTTGGCAAGCCCTGCTGAAACACAAAAGCTGCCTTCATACACAGCAAGATGAAAGCTCAGAAACAATCATTAGATTGAATATGGCATTGTAAAACCTGTAAAATGGGGTTAGTGATACCTGCCCAGCTCTGCACACTTCCCAGTAAAGGCAGAAAGGATGGCTCCTGTGTCCTACGGCCAGGATCCTCACTGAACTTAAACCACCTGATGATGTAACTGGCCTGTTGCTAGGCTACCGCTTCCAC